ACACACACACACACACACACACACACACACACACACACACACACACACACACACACACACGCGCGCGCGCGCGCGCGCGCACGCTTTTCTCTCTCTTTCCAGAGTGTCAAGTGACTGGACTTTTGGTCACGCCTGCATTGCAAAATTTCCTTGAGCAGGGGAAGGGGGGCAAAAACAGGCAATCAGTTCTTGAGGCATCCCGATCATCACTCTTCTGTCAGTCACTCAGCCTCGAGATCATCCAATGTTACTCCAGTTGATGAGTATCAAACTACCAGCATAAAGGAATCCGACAGGCTGTCGTCTAGCGTGGGCGTGCCTGTCAATCCTGGTGTCAGGCTCCTTCAAGTGAGGGTCCCGACGGTGACTTTCTGGGACTATCCGTGGGTCTCTCAATCAGGACACGCAATCTATTCCAGATGGGTACCTTAGGTAAAGTATCGACCCTCCACTGTCAGGAATACACCGTGACACACACTCCCCATAAGGCAATGGCACTCACAACTTATTTTGGTCATTGACATGCGAACGGGAAGACTACGTGCAGGACACGGATCACAGAGTTTCAAAATAGCATCGCGAGTTGCGTCATACACTTATGAGGCTCCTGGGTGTATTGCGTAGGGAGAGTACTGTGTAGCACAGATCAGAAACCCTAAAAGCAAAAGTCTCTCGGTTTTCCATCACTCTGCCTCTATCACTGCGCCTTCACTCCGTGGTACTCGGTGGTCCTCCACCGGGATGACGGCGGCACCCGATTTGCCTGCTATTGTCTCTGACCTGAAACATGATCCCGACCGTATGAGTCCGAACCGGATGTGAGTGGGATGGGGAATTGGGTAATTAATGAATGGGACCTGAATCTTACTCCGTCCGAAGCATTGAACTATCGCACCGTGCACGAGACTATGGCTCGTCCTACCTACTGCGTTGGTGTTGGGGGACGAAAGTACCGCCCAATGAAGGGATATACTAGTGATTTAATATCTATACTACCACTGACACGGTGGAGCGACCACTCTCGAACAGGTCGCGGCCCCCAATCGCCGCACGATAGATCTAGACAGAGACAACCCTCTCCTCCCTCCTGCAGCTCAACTTCAGCTGCTAACAAAGATGACTCATTCCCTTTACGATTGGGGTGGGTTCCTCTAATTCTTGTTCTTGCATTGGTGCTGTCTGCAGCCTGCCTGAATCGAACTAACTGGACTACTGTCTGTACCTTTAATCCCCACGAGGGGATGCAATAGCCTCATTGGAAGGCAAGCGAAAAAGCAAGCAACTCAGGACAGGATCCTTCCATTTGCAATGATAAATCCCACATCGAAGCAGACATGCCAAGGAGGACACTTTACCGAGCCATTTTCTTTTACTTTCCTCTACTCCGTAAATCCTCCTTGAGTTGCCGTTGTTCGGTTCCGAGAGGAAGTATGGGTTGGGTGATCTTCATCGTCAATGGGTGGAGAAGGCCTTTCTGAAACCTCTCAAGACGGCGATCGATAATGTCAACCCCCCTGGAGAAAAGTCTATTTCTTGCTTGCCGAATGGTCAGGATCCAATCATCGTTGGATCCTCGAAATGTCTGTAGTTGTTTGCCTGACGATTGACGTACGATGGATAAAAGCAAACTGTCTAATCGACGCCTCCCTAGACTATTCGCTCATGATCGACACGGGGGATCAAGCCGACGGGTAAGTCACAGAAAGCCATCGCATCCTAGGCATCCGAAGCTGTCATTCGCGTAGGCTTTCTCTTAGAATGTTTGACTTCAGCTCCTCTGTTGCTAAATTCACGGCTGTGATCGATGTATGAGGTACTGCGTTAGCCTCGCGCTCTCTTTCGACGGAAGCCGCTTTATACAGGAACCGACCTCGGAAGAACTTCTAAATATTGTACTCCGGACAGTACGTCCCGGTAGATCATTCGGCTAATTCTTTTCGATACACATATTTCATCCTTTTTTTCGGAAGAATGTTCAGCACGAAATACACTAGGCAAGGAAAAGCACATATTTATTGCTTATGCTTTGCATTCGGCTGCAAGTCGTCAGGGCCTTTTCACACGGTGTCGGTGAGACTCTTTCCCGTGCCGTTATATGCACTGCGCCTGGGACAAACACCTCGAGTGTTCGAGGCAGGGGAAACACATGTAGGCACTTTTCCCATCCGATGACATGACGTGTAGGGGGCAGCAGGTTTGACTAGAGCAATTGAGTAGCTGATTCTGTAATGCCATTGGTCACTGCTTTCTATCTTTGTCGTCCAATACTATTGTGCATCGTGCAGCATTCGGGGGGTTTATGTAATTAGGTAGTTAACTAACTTACCCTCTGCACGTGAGTAAGAAACCAGAGAATAACGAAAAAACAAAGAGAAACTGTGGTTAACCGCGCTTGAGGCGGCCCTAATCCTTGCTCAGCTGCAAGATGTGAAGAACGTGATAGAATGTCATCTGCAGACAAGGAGCTGGTGTGGTACTACAGCCAATTCACAAATCACAGATTCCGGGTACTCACACTAACTTGACGTTCCCTTTACTACGTACCCCGTACACCTCTCCAACATCCCCCCCCCCTCCTATCCGCTTCGAAATACACCTAGCCCTTCAAAATCAGCCTGTCTGACTCCTCAAAACAAGTGATCCTCTTTGCAATCGTCCCCGGAAACTAATGCGCCAGACGAAAACCTAGTTTTGTCCGCGACTCTTCGCTCTCTCTCCCCCTTTATACTTCCTCCGCGTCCACATATGGCACCGCCCGATAAGACCCCAGCGTGCGCACAAGTCAATCGCTGTAAACTCCTCTGCTGCATAGTTCTCACCACCCTCCGACGGCCGCACCACTGCCACATCCCCCAACACTCTTGACGACAAAGCCAATCCCTGGTGCCGTGGTGCGAGAAGAATCTGCCAGGCGGCTCGAGGATTGCGGCCCCGTTGAGCCGCGCCTTGATCTCGTGTTTCATTGCCCAGTTGTCGTAGTCGCGGAGGTGGAAGGGGTTCGATGTAGTCCGCATCTTTGTAACGTGTTTCCTGCTGCCGAGTCCGGATCGTCTGGATCAGTGGTGGTGGTGGTGGCAGTACTAGCCGTGACTGGACGGTCGCGGATCAGAAAGCACTGCAGTTATACTTTTGGGCTGCGGCGGTAGCCCTTTTCCCAGTCACTCGCTTGGCAGATTGAGGAGCAAGAATGCGCTTGGTTGGTTGGGTGGCAGCCAGTACAGCGGAGAAAGTGCCGGCTCTTGGGCAGGTGCTGCGGCTGCATCTGATTGTTGTGGTGGTGGACATTTAGAACTACCGTACTGAACAATTCTCAGTTTCGTCATCTCTGGGGAGCCCCCTTAGTTGGTGATGATGACGAATCCCTTTTCCTTGATGAAGCTTACGGCTGTTAGATAAATACATATAATCCTCGCCTAAAAGCCAAGAAACGCGAAGAGCGCGGCAGGAAGGAAAAGGTTTCATAGTTCACTGTGAAATAGGTTAGTCTGATTGTGTTTGTTACTGTGAGGGGGGGTCTGTTATACGAACGGTTTCCGCAGGCTCTTAGTATCTGGATCTTATACCTTCATCGACTCAGTGTATAGTTTTTGATATTTGGAATCGGTGAGCCGTTTATTTGACAGCTGCATTGAAACGGTGGTGGTTTTAGTGCCCGGTGCTAAACTAAAGCTTGTTTGAAGCATTCCGGCCCAATAAGCGGTGCACCTTAGCGCGCTGCTACTATGCCGGAGTATATACATCCCATCTTTTTCGGCCAGATGTAGGTAGTTTGTCTTAATGCTGAAATCACCCCCGACACTTCTCCCGTGGTGACACACAGGCCAATGATTTGTGCTTTTGAGCCATCTTGTCTATCTGATGCCCAGAATATGCATATACTCTTGCCATTCGCTCTTGCAGACTCAGTGCCAAGTGCCAGAACTACTTAGAAGTCGGATAGTCATGTCCAACTGACAGGCCGTTATGACCCGACAAGCAAGCTACTCAGGCTACTCAAATGGGCGACCTTGAATCATGAAAACTAGATCATGTGGCCAGACAACGGCAGAATTCAGACTCTCTGAGCGTAAGTCCGGCACAAGACCAAGTCTATTTTCACGGCATGAGTAGACGAGTTCGAATATAGCAACTGGAAGTCATAATGGCAGGATAGCCACTCTCCCGTTTAAAGATTTCTGAGGCATGGAATGTCACTAATTCGAGATTCTGTTATCCGAGTTGTCTACTTGCTGCATGTTCAGATAAAAGCGACCTTTCATTCCAAACCATGCATATGCATTTCACGACAATAAAAGTAACTGGATTGAGAGACAATCGATCGACCCCTGCATGGGGTGCAGATGATGCTAGAATCACCCAGTATTAAACAAGTGCCTGCTGTGATGCGTGATAATATGCAAGGCATGTGTGCCACTCACGCAACTTGTTAGTAGTGGAGGAGCCTTGCCGAGTACTGCGGCCATCATCTTCTCTCCCTAAATTTGACAACACCCCGCATACTCACGGAAATCCACGGCAACAATCCTTTCTATACAACTTCGAGGATAAAGTTTGGTGATTTGCCTCCTCCATTGCATCATGGATCACCAAGCCCTTTATTAGGTTCGGATCGACAGCATCGTGAGCAAAGGACTCTCAACTCGTGGTTCGTGTCAATCCGACGATCACTGGGGTTGTTGTTTCGAGAAGACTCTGGCACGACGTCATTCCAACTCACAGGATAGGGCTGATCGCTGTCACCGGTGTCAGAAGGTGGAGGCTGAATCGAGCAAGAAGTGCATCGGTGGTGATGATCCCACTGAAAAGCTGTGGACGGATACGTAGAGTTACATTGGTGTCACAATGAGGGAAGGGAGTCACTGGAGAGTTCCAGTGGCTGACGGGTGGCTGACTCCGTTACGGGACCTGGCGGAAAGCCACCATAGCAAGGACCAATTCTAGTTAATCCCTGACCCTCAAGTATGAACCAGAAACACCGGGGAGTGCTCCGGTATTGGGTACTAAGGCATTTGGCTCTTGGGTGATAACAGCTTCATGTTGCTTGTGAAAACGCTGACAAGCATCGATTACTTCATTGACGGGTTTGGCTATTCTTATCTGGTCATTCCATTGCTTCTACCGTCGTCGACACGCGGCCTTTTGTGGGTTGTAGAATGAATCCTGACAATTCTCAAGGGGGCGGATAGTCATTTGGAATTTATGGCCTTACGCGATGCATATGAGAGTCGTCGTCATGGACTCGAGTCTTACTATGCCATAATTGGATGGGAACGGGGCTGCTCGGCGATAGCAGGTTCTCTAAGAAGACCTCTCTAAGAGAGAGATTAAAGCGGAGCGATGGAGTGGAGTAATCAAAACTACATCTCGATCATTGAGCACTAAGTAGAAGATCTATCGAGGGGTGAGATTCTCTCAGCGGCGGGACGCAGTCCCGGTAGCAGGTGATTTCGTGAGGATCATGAAACGTGACAAAAGGGGACGAACCAATGTGCTCTGAAACCCCCTCAGGAGTCTTGCAGCTTGCGGAGAAAAAAGAGAGCCCAGTGATTACTGTGGGGCGGTGGTTTCTCTGGGAGGGGAGGGGCTTACGAATCAAAGCATTTACAAGGGCGTTGCAATGATATCAGGAATGTCGGGCAGGGCAGGGCTGGTCGCCACGCTCACTAAGCACACAAAACACAAGTTGCTCATTGCTCACACATTCCACATGCGCGTCGATTGAGTTCATGTCTGACGTTACAGCGGGGGAAAGCCCTGCGCTTCGCAAGCTCGACTCCATGGTCCAACCATGGGTTATTCCTCGTGCAGTCCAAGGTTCGAGAAATGATGTTGACGATATCGACAGTTTGGACCACGACCACAGCACGACGATTTAAACATAAAAGCCATCATGGCCCGCTTGACTCGGAGCGCATCCCCTCTCAAGCACTGGACTACATTCCAATAAGCAAGAAGCAAGACTCCAATTCAATCTTTTGAGCTCTCCTCAATGTCATCCTCAACTGAGTTCTTCCGCATCCCCGCGGCGGTCATTCGTCGCACCGCGCCTCGTCTCAGTTCCACCCTCGCTCCCCTGGCCAATAGACCTGCCATCCCAGGGAAGCTGGCCGCCATCTCGCGTGGGAAACTCCAGCGCGAAACCGAGTCTCAAACCCCAGACCTCCGCCGGTGTCTGGGTCATCACCACATCTTCCGTCGCTGTGTCGCAGCTGAAGAAGAAGACAACGCACGATACCGTCGCGAAACCTACTTTGACGACGATGACCTGGACGGGGAATATCACCACCACTCCACAAACCGCCGCCATAATTCCGAATCCACCCCGATCCGAACTCAGATCACCAAGGCTGTCAAGGCCATGGTGCGACGTCGCGATGCCGAGAATAATGCAGTGCCCGACAACGGGCTAGTGCGCATGGCCTCTTCACGCGCCTCCGAGAAGCAGCGACTCTCGATTAAACACAGTCGCCATCATCTATCCCTGTTCGGTTTGCGACGACTGATTGCATCTCAAGCGACAACCGTTCCGCTGCCGCAAGTGCATGTTGCGGCATAATCCTATTGCAGGACATGTGGTCTTGACAACGATGGACTGCGCAGCGACATCGTTTCTCTTTTCTTTTTTCTATTTGAAGCGCAGCGATTCTGGAACGATTCATGAAATAATGAGTATGATGCTATGTTTTGTGATTTATAGCTATATCCTGTTGTATATATACCAGTGTCTCAATGAGTGAGGATCTGTATTATCATCGAAATATCGACTGAACAAATTTCCTTAGACATTATCCTTCTTGCCCTTGGGAGGTCTCTCTTCCATGCGAGGAGCATCCTTGGTCCTCAGTAGTCTCAGTGAAGTATATTCTTCTCCTGATGTTATACTTTACAGTTGCATCACCTACCAATAAAAAAAAGGGACAACCCTTCGATCAAGCATACATATTGAACAGCAAGGCCCATCATTTCCCACCTAGGAACCGAAGCTACTGCTAAGTCTCTGAAGTGCTGCACATAGCAGCTCGCTTTGTATGTTGGCTGACAGGAATCCACCGAATACCCTGAAAGCTCAGATCCAGCTGATGCAAGGCAACAAGAGATTAAGCTTGACCTTGCTGCCCAGCCCGACCCCTTTTTCTCCAGTTGGCTAGGCCAGTCTGTTTCTCAGTCGTGTCGCGTTTTGTTTATAGTGCTCAGCAATAACAATATTGGCAGCATGGCTAATCATGAATCAGAAGGCAAGGGGGGGAGCTGATATACTGCACGAGCTCATGATCAGAAACAAGGTTGAGTGAGATGCATCTCCCTGGGCCAAGCACTCCCTTTCCTCACAACTTTAATATGCTCACTGTTTTCCCCGAAGCACCTCGATTGCGGTCCCATGCAGCTCTAAAAGTACCATTTCCGGGCCAACAATGTGTCTTAGAATCATCTAAAGAGAGTTGAAGATCCTCAAAAGCACACTTGTCGCGCAGCTGAAATTCGCATGGGGCGAGTTGTTCTGTTCTTCCCTTTATCCATAACGGCTCTGTCAATCTCGGTTTCGACCGACACCATATCAGCATAATGATGAAATCTACCATAGGTCTTCTCCTCACGCTTCTCGCCACGATGACAGCGGCCGATTCCATTCCTTTGGAGCGACCGGACATGTGCACCAGCATCGAGTTGACGTGCAATGCGGAGGTGACAGCCCCAACTTAAGAACATAAGTGTAAGGCTGTGCTACTAACCACAAATTTGGAGACTGTAGCAAGTCAAATGTGAAGACCACAATGCATACGATGGGATTAGTGCATGCCCGCAAGTTGTTCCATGGAAGAGCTGTCTCTGCGATGATGTAGGCGATTTGACCCTTCAATCTTCATCGATGTGAATATCTTGCTGACGGTCGTACTTGTGGGGGGACAGGTTGCTGAGCTTTGCATGGTACAGTATATGTTTTCCTTATTGCTTACTTATGCCACTACTCTGATTATTCTTATTTGCAGAAAAACGCGGGATGTTACTAGACACGTAACTACGGATATGGGCGATCCTTTTGATGAATACTAGCTCATCTCAGACGAAGGGTGTCCACAGTGCTTATTTTTGGATTAAAAAACAAGGGGGGGGGAAGTGAATGGTGATGACCTTAAGAGCTTATGGCAACATTCTCGGAAACCATAGGTTGGGCGGGCAAAGAATTAGTAGAACAATATCGATTTGTTCCATCTTTCTCTTCCCTAGACTATCGCAATTCTCAATCAGATGTTGTTATCATTTTCCAGCGGCATATCATGAACAACTTCACCCATCATAATCCTCCCCATCATTGCTACCGTCCAGCCTGGATCAGATCAACCGCCTTTTCAGCCACCGCATACACCGTCGCCATTGGATTTGCGTACGGAATCAAGGGAAAGATACTGGCGTCGACGACGCGCAGATTCGTTGTTCCGTACACTCTCAACTCCTGGTCGACCACTCCACCCTTCGCGCGGGGCAGCATGGCCGCCGTGCCGCATGGGTGGTTGGTGGTGATTGCTCGCTCGCGAAGTAACGCCTTGATAGCCTCCAAGTCCTGCAGAGGAACCTCTTTCATCGCGGCAGAACCATCGATGAACGGCCGCAGAGCCGGAGCAGTGGAGATTTCCAACAAGCTCTGCACGTGTCGGGCCATGAGCTCGACATCCAGCGGGTGAGTGAGACATTGCGGATCGACCTCAACCTGGTTGTTCCGACCAGTGTCCGGGCTGCTACTACTGCTGCTACTACTGGTGATATGGACCCTGCCCCGGGATAACGGGTAGCAAGGGATCGCAACGAGAAGTGCAAAGCTATTGGCGGGATCGGCCGTGAGTATCATGCACGCGGTGGCTTCGTCTGGGTTCTCGAGGATGGTCTTGCGGATGGCCGATTCCGCGTGGTCCACACAAGCAGAGAGATGGCGGGCAGCGAGTGCCGCCTCCTCGCCTGTCCGGACAAATGCAAAGGCTTGGATACCCGGTGTGAATTTGGTGCCGCTATCATCCGCCGGCGATTGCGTGAGCCCGACGGGCTGCGCATAGCAGATATGAATGTGTAGATTCTCCCCCACGTTGGGATTGACGATCACAGGGGCGATGCCGTGGCGTGTGAGAATGGTCGGATTGCCGATTCCTGAGTACTCGAGCAGCTGAGGCGTCTGATACGCCCCGGCTGCGAGGATCACCTCTCTGGTCGCTTGAACTTGGGCTGCGGTCCCATCGGCCAGACGGAGTTTGACGGCTGTGGCTTGCACGCTGCTCTCGGCCTCATCACTGTCGGTACTGTTCTTCGACAGTAGGATCTGCTCCACCGTGGCGCCAGTCACTATCCGCAGGTTGGAGCGCCGCGCCGTCTCCTCCGGCTGGGGGCGGCGGTAACGGGTGTCGGCGCTGCTCCGGAGCCCGGAAGCTGGATTGACAGTCGCCGAGTAAGGCCGAGTCCCCACCGTCGCTCCTTCAACTACCAATTCTGGCTGGAACGCATAGCCCTTTGCTGTAAATGCCTCGTTCCAAGCATCGAGAAGCGGGTGGTTGCTCTTTTCTGTCAGAGTCGGATAGCTGACTTGGATGGGACCGTTGGCCGACTCTGTTTCGTCCTTCTGCATGTTCATCTCCCCTTGCTCTCGCAGCGCGGTAAGCTCAGGCGGCGCGAACTCTGTGAAGCTCCGCTGCAGATATGGTCGTAGGTTGTCCCACGACCAGCTGGTGTTGCCCATGGCATTCCATGCCTCCATCCCAGCAAGAGAGGGCGGTACAAACATGCCTGTGTTGATGGCCGCAGAGCCTCCGAGGACTTTGCCCGCTGTCAGGGCTTGTTCGCGGCCGTTGAGACCGGGCTGGCTCACGGTTTTGAATTGCCAGTCGAGCTCGGACCCGCACAGCGTGAGCCACAAGGAGGGGTCCTGTAACCGAGGGTCTGCGCTTCTATCAGGCCCTGCCTCTAGAACCAGGACTTGAATCGTTGGATCTTCGGATAGACGGCTGGCCACGACTAGGCCGGCCGTCCCCCCGCCGACAATGATATAGTCGGCACTGGAGGGTAGAGCGACAGACTCCATGAGAGCAAATTGAGACTGAATTGGTTTCGCAACTTTCCTAAGAGGTGGGTGACGCGTTTGAGGTGAGTTAGTTGAAAGATTACAAAGGTCGGACCTTGAGATCGGATGCTGCCGGTATATGTAGAGCTCTCATCTAGTGCAATACTAGTACTACTAACTAGTTATGTCAAGCGGGTGGTCAATCTAGCGCAGCAACAGATGATCAGCGACGATTAGGTTGCGAATTAAACCCAAGAGCAATGTCGATCAGAGGTCTGACTAAGAATAGACGAACAGATGAATGAGATGCAAGAAGCGAAAAGAGAGGATGGCCAATGGCTGCATAGACACTTGCCCTAAGCTTTCCCGCGAGATACGCGGAGCGCATCGCGCTATAATCTCACCTCAGCAACGAAGCCAATCATCACACACTGAGACATACTTAACTCAGGTAAGTGAGTATCCACTCATCAAAGGAACAAGGAATACCACCCATGGCCCCAGCTCGCGTTATCTCCGAAGACGCGATTGATCTCCTTCCACGCGCAGCCATCGCAATAGAGTCAACCACCTGTAGTTAACCACACCCAGACATGACAAAGCAAGACTCTGCTGCTTGATCGACTCGGTTGACCACCGTTTCTGACAGCCTTCCTCTTCTTCTTGGGCGAAACGATTCAAAAGCATTCTGTGTGACCAGATTCTCCCAGGAAACACCACGGTATCGAGTGCCAGATGCAAGGGCAAGTCTGTCCAGGAGGAATTGGCTTTTCTCAAGGGCACAAAGAGATTGTTAGGAGCAAGCATTGCCGAGTATCTTTCAGATCTCTCGAGCTCTCTCTCCTATGCTGACCCGTCCCAGCTCTTCTCGTGATTCCATGGAGTATTGTTGTCGAAAGACATGGCCGCTGTCTCTCCCTGCGTTTGGCATTGTTAGGAGACTTGTGTGAAGAAGGTTAGAGCTGTCTGATTTGCTGGTTAATATCATCACCGTGATTCACCTCGTAGCTGCAGAAGCCGCCTCAGAAGATAAGAAGAGGACTACCACTTTTCTCGTCATTCGCCCCGTGGCGATCGCAGCAGTAATGCTGGCCTTGCTTGGCAGTTCGTTCCTCATGGGGCAACCATGTCTGGCTCCCGTGGTTCTTGGGATTATCTTGTCTTCTCCTCGCCATGTTGACGGTCCCAGTGGAACCCCATGCACCCACTACCCCAAATGCTGTACGTGAGAATACTCTTCTGGAGTAAAATTGGGAGTTCGCTCAGGTATGTCGCCAGCACTTTGGCTTCTGAGGAGATGTGAAGAGGCTGACTAGATAGATAGGCGAATTTCCTGTGGGCCTTAGTAGACAGCGAAACGAGATCACCACGACCGGGGTACAGCCGAATACTTTCGACAGAATGAAAATATCATCTGAGTGAGTGAAACTCCCCTCGCAATAAACCCCCAAGAATCCCCCCCCCCCGGCCCATGCGGCAAGCGGAGCACAACATCTCACAAGATAAGCCAACCCCGCATCCAAGCGCCAACTCACCACCTCCACCTTCCACCTCATCCTCACCACACAATCTGAAACCCGCCTAACGCACCCACCACAGTCAAGTTCAGGCAACATGCTTCCATCAAATGAACATCCGTGGACCGTGCAAGGCGAAACACCGTCCCCGGAACCTTAGTCATTGATGTGGAGGGCGGCCATTGGTTCCACGATGAGATGAACAGCTCATAAGGCAGAAACTGGGTCTTTGTGTCATGCTCTCTTGACTGGGGAGTGGGGAGGTATAAGCTCTCGCTGCCCCTGGAGAGTGTCAGGGTAAGGAGAATATCCTCCGAAAGTTTGTTGAGTTGTGAAAACGAGGGTTATACCTCACAATATTACGACGCAAGAAACGAACAAAGGCAGCATTTGACAGTCACTGCAAGCAATGGCCGTTCAAAGTAACGGCCACGCCACCAGCAACGGCACGCATGGCCCATCCGTCCGATTTGCACCACCCAAAACCACATCGTCATCACGGATGAACACATATCTGGACCTGGATGAATACGACCAGCCTGACTCCTCGTACGTGTGTGCCTCATCTCTCCCTATCCCTAGCCCTAAAACTGAAAACCCCCACCCGACAAAACAGCCCCTACGAGTCCCGCCGCATCATCGTCCTCCTCGGCCCTCACGAACGCCAATATTCCATCCCAGAATACTACCTCCGCCAATCCCCCATCTTCACCGACATCCTCCGCACCTACCCGCACTTCATCACCAAGACCGTCCCCTGCATCCCGCTCCCAGAGGTCGACGACGACATCGTCCACACCGTCGTGCACTACCTCCACACGGGGAGCTACCAGACCCTGCGCCCCGCCGGCGGCAGCGACTGGACCAAGACCGAGTACCGGCGTAGCGTGCTCGTCTACGGCGTGGCGGCCAAATACGAGCTGGTCGGGCTGCAGACCCTGGCACGCAAGTACCTGCAGAAGCTTGACACCCATCTCAGCATCTTCGACGTGCTGGGGGTGGCCCGGAAGGTGTACGGCGGGAAGGTGATCCCGGACTACGACCCCTGGTTTTTTGATGATTATGTGCGCGGGAAGATGGCCGACGCATTTGTCGAGGACCGGGACCTGTTCGAGCGGCCCCGGTTTCAGTATCTGCTCGGCGCGGAGACGGGATTTGATCGGTTCTTGGTGCAGGCGCTTGTGTCCATTTACGAGGCAAGGATTCAGGAGCTGGAGAAGCGGGCGATGAAGAGTGGGATGCAGAGGTCGGGGTACGAGGGGATGATGACTGGTGGTGCTGGTGGCGGTGGTGGCGGCGGCGGGCTGGAGGATATTGCGGAGGAGTATCCGGATGAGCGGGCTGTGTCGGTCGACGAGATGATCGATGGGGAAGAAGAGGAGGAGGAGAAGGAGGAGCGGTATGAGGGACAGACAATCCTGGAGAGACTGGAGGCGCAGATCAGAGAGCGCCCACCATCCAGTGCCCATGATGTATCGGAGGGATATCCCGTATCGGTGGCCGAAGAGCCGATAGAGGAGTACTCAGAGGCGCCTACTGCACCCACGGCCGCCCACGAGGCGGAGTATGCAGACGAGCTGCCGGCCGAGAGGTACGCGCCTGCCGAGGAGGCGATCGTGGAGGAGGAGGCTATCCCCAACGATGAGGGACATCAGGCTGAACCACACGAGATCACCGCAGATGACTCGTGGAACGACGGGTGGGGGAATTGGGCGGCCCGCACGCGCGAATGGGGGTACACGAGCGCTATCCATGAGGAGCCCGGCGCCGCCGACCCCGGCGCCCCCGACCCCGTCGCTGACCCAGATCTTGCCCATGAACGTGTCCCAGAGCCTGTTGCAGAGGAGCCGCTCCCGGATTATGCAGAGGTTCAGCCGGTGGTGTCGGAGGATCACGCGCAGCAGGAAAACAGGTCCGTTAAAAATGGCAAGAAGAAGAATGGTAAGGAGCGGAAGAAGAAGAGCACGATGAGTCGGACGAGGGCGTTGTTCTCGTCGACGGAGGAGCAGCCGCGAGAGCAGGCTGTTTTTTAGCTGGATGGTCAAACGGTAGGTATGTACATGAATGGGCGGCGTTAGGCTTAGTCTGGTATGGCTTGAATGATAGGTAGTATAGATGACTCGCATCGGATGGAAGGGTTGTCGTGGTATCGTCTGTTCTCTTGACCTCTTGGCTGCGTACTTCTACTCCGTAGCCAGGTAAACTGACTGCAGGATAACTATAACTACACCATCTACCAAAAGATCCCTGGAGCCAAAAAGCGATAAGATAAGAACCCCCCTAAACCCCATCCGGCCAACCACCCAAGAAATGGCAGGCTCCGTCGCAATCACCTCCAAATCATTCTTCAACCTCTTGCTCAACTTTTGAACCAACCGACAACATCACTGCACCACCGAATAGACACCTCATCAAACGATCCAACAAAATGCCACCACAACAATCCTCGTCAACGACAACAACAACCTCCTCCTCCAAGCTAACCTTCACCAAAAAGAACCAAAACATGACCAAACTCCCAACATGTGAGTCCTATCACTACCTAGAGAAACCACCCCCCCCCCCCTCCCCAACCATCTAAATTCTCAACCACTCCCCGCTCTCTCCTACCACAACTAATATCTACCCAGACGCAAAAGTCCACAAACGCCCTATCCCACACCCCGCCCCCCCAACGCCCTACACCGGCCCCTCGACCCCAAAAACCATCTACGTCTCGACCTCGACCCCGAAAATGAGTGTCGTAACGCGCGTCCGAAAACTCCTCCGCCAAGCCGAGAAGCGCGCGACGGCTGCCCTGCACAACAACGCCTCCAGCCACAAACACCGCGGACGGGCAGGCGCCGGAACTGGGGCCGGATCGCAAGCGGAACTACTGGCGAAAGTGCAGGAGGCGTTGCGGCGGGAGGAGGTGCATGTGAAGGCGACGGGGCGGGCGATTGGCAAGGCTGTGGCGGTGGGGGAGTATTTCCGGAGGCCGCCGACGGAGACGGAGGGGTATAGGGTGGAGGTGAGGACGGGGGGCGTTATGGTGGTGGATGATGTGGAGGTTGATGAGGAGGCGAAGCAGAGGGTGCTAGAGCAGGCGGAGGTGTGGAGGCGGGAGGTGGAGAGTGGGGTTGAGGAAGGGAGTGGGCGGGTGTTGTCCAAGGCGGCTATCAAGAAACGGAGGAGTCGGTTGAGGAAGATGGGAGTAGTGGATGGGCAGGGGAAGGAGGATGAGAAGGTTGGGGACGTTGAGGAGGAGGAGGAGCAGGAGGAGGGGGAGGGTACTGGGGAAGCCGAGGAAGCAGAAGAGGAAGAGTTGCCGGAGTCGAGGACGAGGTGGGTCAACATGGTTGATGTTGTGATTGGGCTGAAGGGCTGAAGGAGGATTCTCTGTCGCGTGGCGAGGGTTCGATATCAGAAGAGAAAGAGGATTGACCACAGTCGATGGGCCAGCCACCACTCATCCGGACCAGGACTGCTATGAGGCTAACTGGGCCTGCAAGACTACCCTACACGGCCTACGCCTCAACACATCGCAAGTCGGCAAAGTCCCGAGCAGACAGCCAAATGAGACAGCAAGGCATGTCCTCAAAGTGCCACATGCTGTCTCAACCCTTAAACAAGCCACATCCAGCTACTTCCAGCTACAGGGCAAGTCAACCCATGATGTCCATCCATTCGTACCTCTAGGTTGAATCATAGGTTCATCTGGAACAAAAATGTCTTGAAAAAAAATGTACACGAAGAACACTTCAAGAAAAGCTAAGCATTCGTCTCGCTGAACTCAAAGAACTGGTGCTATGTAACCTAATACAAAGGCGGGTGTGCCTTACATGCCCTGCTTCTGCCCATGATGGAAAAACATTAACGGAAAATAAACCACTGCTGCCAGGGATTCGTTACTGGAACAACAGGGTACCGACGAAGAAATAATATCTAACAACTGAAAGGTAGCGAGAGTCATGCAGGTTATGCAAAACAACAACTGCATATAAGAGGGGCCGCGAGAAGTGCATAAGGTGAAGAAGGAAACCCCACAGCCAACGCAGAAGCCCTGTTCAGCGTCGGTTCACAGTACACGGGGGAAGAAGAGTCAGAACTATAAATCAATATGACGGGAGTAGAAAATGGGGTAATAAGGATTGATGGGGGTAGACCACAAGGCCACCGGGGGGGGGGGGAATGACAAACTTCGGGGGAGGCCTTTTCGAGATAAAACAATTCAAGCTGTTCGCTTAAAAAAGACAAACATAACATGGTGGCAGGACATTTATCATTTATCCATCTTCTGCCAACCATTTAAATAGGCCATCAGCCCAACACCTAGCAAAACGACTCCCAGCATTGACGCAAAGGGGCCGGACTGCTCCAACACGTCATGCCGGTGAGGTTGCGCGGCGAGTTTCTGATCTGCACCGTCGCTTTCTTTCATGCGAGGTGATGCATCATGCTGCAGCCGGGAGTCGCTAGGCTCAGGGACTTCTTTCTCGGCCACGTTCTCCGCCTTCATAACAGGAGCATCGGCAACGTCGCTCTTCCTTGACTCCTCCAGTTTGGCATCGCTCTCGGCACGCTCCGCGCGCTCTCGTCGTAATGTCTCAATCATCTCCGCCAGGGACTTGCGCGCTTCAGCCGTTTCACTTTGTGCATGTTGTGCCTGTTCTTTGAACATGGTCACTTGCTTCTTCATTTCTTCCATGTCTTGGATCATCGTTTCCAGACGATGTTGGAGGTCATCTGTTCGGATATCCGGCGCTCCCGCCTGCTCAGCTTCGGTCACAACTTCTGCTACAACTCCGGTGGCCGGTTCCTCGACAGACTTGTCTAGCGGCACAGTCTGCGTGGTGTCATTGTCTACATCGCTACACACCGAGGTAGCATGTGCACCATTAGCAAGAGTCCGCCTTTCCAGACTTCGAGCCTTTTCTTCGGCGGATTCGCGAGCAGTACGCTCCTGGAGCAACATAGCTTCCAATTCCTTGACACGGGCGCCTTGAGTATCAAGCTCACGCTTGGCGGTTGACAATGCTTCAATCAGTGAAAGGATCTGACTGTTGTCGCGACTGACAGGCGAGCTGCCACCAAGCTTAGGCTTCTCGGTATCTGAACGCTTCAAGGGGGAGAGGGAGTCTGTGCCATTTCGAGGTAAAGCATCCGGCTTTTCAGGTAGTGGTTGTTGGGGAGGAGGTGCTGGAGGCTCGGAGAATCGTGAAAAGGAGTCTACCCGAGGTATTTTTGGTCTGCCATTGATCGCACGAGAGGCGTTCGTGTCAGGCGGCGAGTGTTTCGCTTTCTCTTTCTCGGGCGGACCGGGCTTCATCAAGGTCGTCAAGAACTCATCGGTCTGTCGAAGCTCCTGAGATTGCTGCTTGGCTTGTTTCATTTCACTCTGATCGTTCAATTAGCCCCCCATTCGGACCGCATGGGCGCACAGTCACCTACCGTGAGTCTTTTGACCACCTGCTCTATTGAGATCGGTGAGTTCCAGTAATTCATCTGACGTTGTTGCTGTAGCGCATTGAACTGGCTGCTGGCTGCACTCTGCGCACTGCGGTTGCTCATAGTACTGCCCGACCGACCGCGAAGCTGCAACATAGGCTGCGAGAGCGGCGACGGGACAAGACCATTGCCGGCGGAAGGGTCCAGATCGCCCAGCGTCAGATCGAGAATGTTGGGAATGGACGCATAAATACCAGCATGCTCGACTTTAGCAGACACCTTGTGATGAACAATCGTCTTCTGATCTTCGCTAACAATATCTATACCGAGCTCTAGGGTATCGTTCTCGCGCAATTCATGAGGATCTGACTCGCGATTCTCCTGAGATAAACGCTTTCCGTTCACAAATGTACCGTTAGACGATTTGACATCACGGATCCAGATCTTGCCGGTTTTGTCGGCCCAAATCTCGGCGTGCTGCCGTGAAAGCACCTTCGAGTCGAAAAATCCATTCACTGGCGTAGGCACTGTCTTGGCGTTAGTCTGTCGACCAATGCGTATTACCTCTGGATAAAAAGGCACGGTAATCTGTTTCTTCTCGAAGGTACCGTTGATAGGCAAGAGGGTCAAAATGGCAGGTGGATCACCCTGTAGGACGCTCGGAGCGCGCAGGCCATTCTGTTGTTGTGAGAGCTGAAACATATTCTGAGACGGGACAATGGATGGTGGCTGATGGACCGCGGTTATGGTGCTAGAGCCCGAAGAGAAGGCTGGCATGGCTTGAGAGGAGGGTGCAATGCCCCTTAGGGATTGCGGCTCTGAGTTCGAGGTATGCCAGAGATTTCTGGAGGGTTTCTTCTTGTTCCAGCTATTTGTAGCCGCAGGTTGTGCGGCGCCTGAATTCTGCTCGGAAAGGGCCACAGTAGTTGAGGTGGAGCCGTTGGATCGGAGGGATGACGAAGAGTTCGATCTCTGGACGGTCTTTCGAGGCATAAATGTCCGAGACACTTCTTCCGCGTCCATTGAAGAGAAAGCACCCTGTCCTCCGCTACCAGTATCAAACCATCCCATGTGAGGCCCCGTTTGCACGCTAGGTGGTGATGCCACAGCAGTCATGGAGACGAATACCGGAGATGGTAGGCGCGGAATCGAGAGAATTGCGGTTCGGGGGGATTTATCACATAGACGCTTGTCCGTTCAACGGTGAATGCGAAAAGGGCAAGAGAGAATCCGATCCGGGCGACAACCAGCAGCTCAGAAATCGTCGCCACAGATTCTCGAGGCGAGAAAATTGTAGCGATGGCTCTCGGGCCGACAAACAAAAAAGGCTGTTGGAGCGCACTAGGACTGTTGCGAAGAGATCACGTTAGCAATTGTTCCGGACAATACTCGATAAACATCAAGCCCCTTCGGAGTCGAGGCAGCAACGCCAGCCGCTGGGCCCCTTAGCCCCTCTTTAATATAAGATAGATCACATTGGACTTACCAGTGCCTCACTTGTACAACAGGCCGAGATCCGATTCACAAGTGGGTTTTGGGGGAAGGGGAGGGGAGATTTAAGAAGGCGCAGTGGGAGGAGACCAGGGAGACGTCAAGGTCTTGGCCCAACCCGAGGAGCGACCGGAAGAAGCAACGGGCCAGAGAAAGAGATGTGTTCAAGGGATACTAAGCAAGATAAAGCCACACGCAGGACGGGAACGCCGCCATGCATAGGCTCTGAGGCCGCCGTAGAATATAAATTCGACGCACAAGGATCACACGATTTTGCGACCAGCTCTTATGGGTGGGTAAAGTAGACGAACCGGCGACATGAAGCGGGAGAGAGAGAGGGAGGAGGAGCCCACCGCATCATCAGCTCACGGCCTCCTCCCCTAGCTTTGGTGCCTCAGGCTATAATACGCACGTGACTTGAACACCACGTGCCTTATGTAATAAGTTATCTTGCAGGCAAAATGCAAATACACGCAAATTAGGCAGGCGGTACCACGTGGTGGTGGGCATCGTCTGAGCCTCGGGTCTTCGCATGCGCTGGAGCTTCGCTTTGCATCTTGACGACGGGAGTGTTCTTCGTGGACTCGTGTACGCTTGATCTATTCTGCTATATCTCACCTTAATCTTGCATTCTCTTATCATTCATCATGCCTGTCGTTGCTGGCCCCCCTCAGGCCCACGGCCCTAACACCTTCGAGAAGAGTAAGTCTCAGCCCATCCGCAGTACAAGCAAAACCGTTGTGGCTGCTCCAGGGTTGTCGAGATATATGCTGATCCATTCTACAGTGAAGATGGGTGCTCTGATGGGTTCCAGTAAGCATTAACTTGTCCAAGTTATCTCGAGTGGCAAGGGCTCTAGCTAACATCATCGCTCATCAGCTGTTGGTGGTATCATGGGCTTCATCATCGGTGAGTCTCTGCGAAAGAGGCAACCTGCGCAAATCAGACTAGCTGACACATTGTAGGCACCGTCACTATCTTCCAATATGGAGCGGGTCCTAACGGCGTCTTCCGCACCCTGGGTAAATATATGCTTGGTTCCGGTGCCACTTTCGGGTATGTTGCTGAATGGCGGCTGGTCTTTCGGTCGGTCCTTCAAAGCAAGTCTCCTGCTAACTCTTCTGTTCATGAATAGCCTCTTTATGTCCATCGGCAGCGTCATCCGTACTGAGGGCCCATACAACGACGCCTGGCTCCGCGCTCGAGGCCCCCCGATGATGCTCCCCCGCCAGAGCCCCCTCCGTCCCATGCGCGATTAAGCGCATTACGCATTTAAAATGGTTGACTGGGAGGTGGTGAGAGTGGCGAGATAGGACGAGCAAATTGTACAATAGCTATTTTGAATGATGGTTCTGCCGGTCACGGTCGTTGATCGCAAATTCAGCGCTTGAGAACTCGACTCGGTGCCGAGCCAGAGCAGCCAGGCCCTGGACAACTATACTGTGTACATAGGTGATACCGAGACGTCTTAGAGCCGTCTCTAGTCCAGGCCTGCACTGCGATGCATCTTGGCGTTATAACAAGGTTGGGTTAATTAATGGACGGGCATGAATGATGACAGACATGTCTTGTATGGTCACCAGAACTACACCATGATGATTGACTGTATAACTTCTCTAGGAAGAAGACATCTATTACTACACCCTCAAGTCTACCATTGTGTCTATGCATGCCCAACGAAATCGCTAAAGAACAACCATGCCCCCCTCACCCCATGAATCCATTATATACAGCGACCCGGCCATCCACCCCCATGCAACCTCTAACTTGTATTACCTCGGTATACACTAACCCATCGCAAACACTACTGCCCATCCTGCTTCTTCGGCGCCCAGACCAACCACCCACACCCAATCAAGAACTTGATTCCCGCGGCCAACCAAAAGGTCGACGCCATACCCCCGTTACTGCGATTCAGCCAACCCCCGACAATAGCCCCGACGAGCAACATCACCACCCCGGCAACGCGGCGATTGCGCTTCACATTCTTGCCGGCAAAAATGTTCATATCCGACGCAATGTCAAAGTACACACTCGTGATGACGACGCTGGGGATCTCGTTGTACCCCAGCGAGCGCGTTGAGTTGATCGAGCCCGCAGACTGGAAGGCAAGCAGCCCGATCGGGATGAGGTCCAGCAACGGGTGGTGCTGGTGGTTGCTGACGTCCGGTTGCGAGATCAGCCCGGCCTGGATGAGCGCCACCGCGATCACGATCAGCGCTACCTGGACCATGAAGGAGGCGAACAGCGTCCCGCGGCGTGTCGGGCCCAGCAGGCGGCCAGCGCGGCTGAAGCAGAAGGAGCCGCTCAGGAAACAGCTGATGGAGACGAGGGATTTAAGCCAGCTGTAGGGGGAGTCGCGGGGGAGGTTGGAGGCGCCGAGGCCGAGGACGATGGTGTTGCCTGGTTGTTTGGCATGGCTCGTTAGTTGTTGTTGTTGTTGTCGCAGTTTTAGACGACATGCATGATTCGGCTCGGTAGTCGTGGGATAGCTTACCGGTTTGCATAGCTAAGAAACACGACCACGCATTGAAGGCAGAACTATCGCACAGACCCGTCAAGAAACACAGCACTACACAGATCAGGTCCGCGTAATTGCTGTCAATGTTCTGCTTCAAATGGCTTTCCTTGCTAGAAATCTGCATTTTGCTGGATTTCTCGGAAGACGATTCCACGACTGGCAGGACCGGAGGTCTACCAGGTTTACCAGGTTCAAAGGACTGAGACATTCCGGCGTAAACAAAAGTACGTACAGTAGCCAAATGGCTGATGTGGGCTGTAGCGACGTCAGAGACAAATAAACAAATGACGAGGAAAGCAAAAAGACTGGGGAGAGAGTGTGAAGGGAACATCAGTTCGGTGGTCGGTTCACTGACGCCCTAAACCCTAAAAATCCCTAGAAGGCCATTGTCCCTCATCGATTGTTGTGATAATAGTGTAGTGCCCAGGGTAGGTCTGAATCGAAGCTGTTTTCGGAATCTATCCTCTTTTCGCCTCGTCAAAGCTTAATCTTTTCGTTTCTTTTCACCCTCCCAAGGATCCAGACCCAGGGCGTACTGGGCTAAAAAGCACGCAATTGCGTGACAACAAGACGGCATTTCCTGGCTCCACCGAGGGTCTTCTAGCGTGAGATATCAGACCTGGCAAAGCCTAGAGTCGTCAGCCCTACAGAGTCATCGGCAAATTATGTTAGCAATATCTGCCAGAGCGGAACAGTAGGCTTCGCGCTAGCCTCCACAAGGCTGATAATCCGGTCTCTGTATCATTGGCTGTGGTGACCCGCTCACAAGGCTAGTCCCGAAAGCTTAGGCCGATGCCGGCTCGTCTGCTTTCCTAAGAGGGCATCTAGTTAACTGACTACATGAAGGTATGAGGTAAGGTTATTATATTTCAAGGGTGCATGCACTCTAGTCGTTACATCTTATGTTGATGTTCGAGTTCTCATCGCGAGTACATGGTGAGATAATCAATAACAAATGCCTGACCAACAGATCAGGCACAATTCATACAGGGCTGGGCTGAAAAGCGCACAAGTTAGGACAAAGAGCCAATTGGCGCGAGTTGCATACTGCGTACACCCGAAAAGTGAAAGCATGAAGAAAGGAAAGCAATGCACTCATAGCTTTGACACCCCTCCCAGTGGAGTTGCGCTCCAGGTCTCCTTGATGAGGTCAGCGCATTTCTCACCAATCCCGTAAGCCGGCATTTGGGTATGGCCTCCATTCAGGGTTGGCATGACACTGCAGTCAGCAACACGCAATCCAGATACCCCACGCACCCTTAACCTATTGTCAAGCACAGCGTTTGGGTCGCTATCCTTGCCCATGGCGCAAGTTCCTCCTGCATGATAACCTATGAGGCTAACATTAGTCAACTTACACTGAATTGTAGACGAGATGGACTTACAAGTCGTTCCGTGCTCCTTGACATAAGGAACCCATTGTTCTCTTTCCGTGTATGCATGATGAGTCAGACTGGGTGGCCACGACCCTTTCACGATGTCTTTCGTTCCGGCCCCTTTCATGATGATCTCATTGGCAAATTTGCATGCTTCCGTGATTACTAGGAGGTCCAGTGGATCAGAAAGATAATTGCAGTCCACGATAGGATTATCATGCGGATCCTTAGAAGATAGTGTCACGCTCCCTCGCGATCGCGGAGAAAACAATTCTGCAATGATGGAGAATGCATGCTTGTGGTCGATAGGAAATTGATCGTACTGTTTCGGACCACCATAGCATTCCGTAGTGAAGAATTCAATATTTGGCTGCTTCGGTGTCAGACCCATGGGGTCACGACCGGGCTCTCGTGGTGCATCCCTCCAAAGTGGCTCGTCCTTGAGACGATCGTCAAGCCGCGCAAATGCGAAGGCACCGAATGGGACTGTCGAAAGGAACCCTTCCTTCTTCTCCTTCCATAGTGCATAGCTTTTCTCGAAGCTGTCACCGTGATGCACGAGGTAATCGGTTGTCAAGCCCGCTTTTGTTGTCTCGTAGAAGATGAAAACAATCTAAGTTCAATGAGTGAGCTGCGTGTTTTGATAAGATGATGCAAGTGAGAAAGAGAAGTTCACGCACCATGTGATCGAGGAGATTCTGTCCCACTCCAGGCAATTCCACCTGGCATTCAATGCCATGCTTGTTTAGCTCCTCCCTGGGACCTATTCCAGACCTCATGAGAATTGCTGGGCTGCAATATGCCCCGCCGCTGACAATAATCTCTTTCTTCGCATAAATAGACTTAGGGCCAGCCGGCGTGATCACCACCACTCCTTCAGCTTTCAAGTCGTTGGAGCCGTGTCTCATGAGAATCCTGTCGACTGTGGTGTCAGTCATGACAGTGATATTGGACCGAAGGTACCCCTTGGTGATAAAATCACTACTTGTCGTACGGATACCATTGTGCACTGTTCGTGGCACATGGCCGCACCCATGCGGCGTCTCCCCAGTTGTAAACATGTCATGGTCAAGTGGAAGACCCTGTGAGACAAAAGAGTCCATGATAAGATTGCTGATTGGTGCAAGGTCGTGTGGCTCGAGATGCAAAGGCCCAGACTGCCCGTGGAACTCATCATTGGCTTTGAACCAGGGCTTGGAATGGAAAGTCTCGGCCTGCAATCGCATGCCATGTCAGCTCAAAAGGTATTCGCTCGTTGCCATGGAAGATAAGTTACCAACCTTTCGCATGTATCCAAAGAACTCTTCACCACTCCATCCGTCTAGGCCCCAGTCGTCATAGTCTTGCTTACATCCGCGAATACAGAGGGTTCCGTTGCAACCGCTGCTGCCGCCCAAGAACCTGCCTCTACTCAACTTGACCTGCCGGTTGTCAACACCAGGCATTGGTGGAGTAACGATGTTCCAGTCTGTTTCTTTATCGAGATTGATAGGCCACCTGATCCAATCGTCAGTGATATTGCGCGTTGGTTGGGACAGAATGACTCACCCCCCAGCCATGTGAACACTCTCCAGATCTTTATTATGCTGTCCAGCCTCAATAACGAGGATTCGAACTTGGGGATTCTCAGCCAGGCGCCCTGCCACAACACATCCTGAGGTACCTCCCCTGGTCGAAAGTTAGCCAACGGATAGGCAGTTCGCATGAATGTAGAGCTGTGATAACTCCAGACTTACCCGCAGATAATGTAATCGTAGTGATCGCGATCCTGCATCTTTTCTACCATTCTGGTTCAAAGTCACAAAGAGCAAATGCTTTCAAGACAGGAAGAGCTCACAGCTTCGACTAATACTAAGATGCAAGGACCTTTTAAGGACAGATTTCGGGGTGAGACAATTCCGTGATCTTGTTCGGCGAGCCGCCGCGTGACTGCAGTCATGCATGCTGCTTGATAGTGCTATCACCAATAGGAGCGGGCATCAAACGACACCGGCGCCAATCTTGGGATGGTGGGGTCGGAAATGATCCGTGAAATATTGAAGAATGCGGAGGCGTCGAGACTATCCGACAAGAATGCGGGGTAAGAGTGAACACGGATCTGGATCGATCGCCAGCATCACGGAAATACGCGGAATTACCTCCTACCGACGGCGGGCCAATTGATCGGAGCTGTTGTCGCTTGTGCTTCTAGAATTGTGGGCCAATTCCGCGATTTGGCCCAATTTCATATCATCGTTCATATTCGCATGAGGTATCAGAAGATGACGACGACTGGTATATAATGTGTTCGTCTCCTCAAGTCCTTTGCCAGAGGTTTCCGGGACAAAGAACCAGACGAATAGAAGTCCCAGCAGGGATATGCCTGTGAAGAACCAGAACGTGCCTACGGGTGTGAGCGAATGGTGGGCAAGGAGCATCATAGGAGTAGCCTATAGGAGTCAGTGTGTCATGGATAAGTAGAGCCATGAGAACAGTTGGACCAGACCTTCGAAATGCCAATTCGGTTGACGTAATGCCACAGTGTGACCAGGCTTACTCCGACAATCCTCACTCGTAGTGGGAATGCTTCCGCTGGGATGAGGTACTGAATAGAGTTCCATCCGAGAGCCCAGCTGAGTCCAGTCATGTAGATCATGACGATTGCCCCGATGGCTGCATGCTTGACTGCCGACTCCTGATGCGAGCTTGGCGTCAGGTATTCAAAGACCGTGAGAAAGATTGAATCGTAGGCAAGGGCTAGAATCTGGATGATAAGACCAAGATAAAGGGTCTTTCGTCGACCTAATGCGTCAAGTAGAAACAAAGCAGAGATTAGCGCAGATGCAAACTTGACAGCCCCTAGTATTGCTGTAGTAAAGAGCTTTTGCGAACGCCCTTCGATACCGAAAAGCTCGAAAAGCTCAGGGGCATAAGCTAGAACAGTCTGATCAGTCTGCATCCAAGAAAGAACGCTCGGAGAACCACCTAGTGTACTCACTTGTGACAGAATTAGGACCTGACCACTCTCCTAGGCACTGAAGTGCGAAAATGTACGCAATCCGCCTCAAATGGTCCTTTGTCGTGAACAGCTCTTTGAGAGCACTTAGGAAGTGCAGAAAAGACTTGTTCTTGTCCGCTTGTTCAATTTGGGCTTGAGCGTTCGCCATCTCAACGTGAATACCAGGATCCATCAACGACAGATTCCATAATCTTGCAAAGGATCGTAAAGCAGCTTTAGGGCGACCCGTTTTACACAGAAAGCGGGGACTCTCTTCACAGAACAGAGAGCCGAGTAGAAGTAACCCTGCCCACATGATTTGAATGCTTTGTGGAATAATCCACTGTCTCGCGCTGGAAGACGGGATGTGAAGGGAGGCACCCCAAATGGAGAAATACTAGATACCATCAGTTTCCAGGAATCAGTATTTCCAATCGACTACTCACCCCAATCATGATACCTAGATATTCTGACATGCCGTACATGCCCACAATCATACCTCGAATCTCTCGTGGCGCCACCTCTCCCAGGTATATGGGTGCGATCACGCCATACTGTCCGATACCTAATCCCATGATGAATCTCCCAGCATACACCTGTCCGAGTGTATGTGACGTTATGAAAATAATAGATCCGGTGATCCAAAGAAGACAAGCTTGACGCATAGTCCATAGCATACCGATGCGCTCGCACGAGATAAATGCGACAAGAGCGCCGGGCAAACTGCCAATGTGTACCATTGAAGTTATGTCGGATAGTCGATTGGCTTTTTCGGAAGCATTAAGATAGTTGGCATGCAGGTGGAACTGATCAATGAAGGATTGTTCTGCGACGGTACTAGCAATGAGGCCCCCGTCGAGGCCTACCCTGAGGTCAGCTCAGACTCATTGATGCAGAGATTGGATAGCTTACCCCGAGCAGCACCCGAGAATCCAAAACAGAAGGCGGCACACAGGAGTCTGAAAGAGAGCCTGTTCTGGAAGAGAGAGTGCTGGTGATGATCCTTCATGGTGGCGTCCAGGATGAATTAGGTACAGGACTTGATGCCTGTCTTGTAGGATATTGATAGTTGTCAGACATGTTAATTAAGTTCCCTCAGTAGATAAACAGAGATTGAGGCCCGATAGCCTCTTGTCACCCTAAACGTGACTGACTAATAATGCTCTCTTGAGAAACGTCTAGGCTGAAGCAAAAGAGGAGCCATCCAGCAGCGGTAGCCAGTGATACTGGTTATGGCATTGGAGGAGGTGGAGCTGGGTGGGTTCTCTCGCTTCAGCCTTACCCGCACCCCAACAGTCATCGATCCACCATCACGAGATGATTTGTTCTTCAAACCATCACACTCGGGTTTACTTACTCCTATTTGCTTATTTTGGGGCCTAGTGTACACCTATCCTTGCTAACAAGCATTTTGAGCTGGCCTCTTCTGTTGTCTAGTGCACCAATAAAGCGAGACCAATTACGAAATCACTTCTACTGGCTTTGGCCGGACTTTTCGACCAGCAAAATTGGTGTTTAGATTAAGTGGATGCGTCTCATGATCTGGTGCTGGCCTAGCGTCACTGCAACTCCGTACCGCCAACGCTGACAAATGGTCCTTTGATGGCTGACATTTGAAGGCGGATGCCCGCAAGACTCGTGCTGTTTATCATGTAGATTGACCGGACATGATGCTGGTCTCTATTGAGCAGCACGGACTCTAAAAGAGAGAAGATTTCGAGGAAGACTTGCAGCGATGGCTGTATCCCAAGAAGAATCAAATGTTTTTTTGCAAAGCAAGAAATGGGAACAGGCTTTCTTGTGTACGGCAAATGAGACTGGATAAGTGCCCCAGCCGCTGCGAATTTCTATATACACAGGGAGTCTCGGAGGCCATGTACTTATCATAATGCAAGCTAATGATCAGCCTAAGACACTGAAATGACTTACCTTGATCAAAATGCTATCATTGATATAGATGGGGGTCTTGAATCTCGAGCGACACCGCGACTGCCAAAAACTGCCATTGAAGCTAAGAACTCAGGCAGATCATTCAAGCTTATCACCGCGGCACTTTATTGACTCAAACTGACATACTTGCTTTTATAGTGCTAATGTGCATAGTTCGAGACTTCATGATAAGCGTCGCAGGGATAAGCTGGCAACCACAATGCTGCCACAGCGTTTACTGAAGTCCATCGAAGGTCTTCTCAAAACTCTTTGTGCATGGTGCAACCGCCTTCGCCATAGTTATGCTTCATCATTTACGGTATCACTCGCCGAGCTTATCTCCTTCGATCAAGCACTGTACACACTCGTTCTATCTAAGGTGCTTCGGATGCAACAAGGCGAGCAACTTAATCAGCTAAAGTTTCGACATTCTTTAGCTCAGTGGTGCTATTCGGTCCCCTTCAGTGTGAAACTTCCCATATGAAGCTCCATAAGTGTGATCGCAGCTGCGGCCCTGGTTAGCCTTGTGTGATTCTATGGAGGAGTTGAAGAGGGAATAACATTATGCAGACGAGGCGATTATTTCTCGACCCAAGCAAAACAGCAGGATTAATGTTTACCACTATATAGGTGTAAAAATCCTTGTGTTATCTGTGCACTGCCCACAGTGCCAGAGCCTAAGCATGAAGTAAACTTAATCCATGACATGACTATATGGTCAAGCCTGACCGTGTCGAACAGCTCTGATCTCGGGATTGGTCTCAGTATCGGCAAAGGACGAGCGGGGTCTTGTTTACCCACCACCAGAAGTGGCGGGGTCTCGGCGCGGATAACGATCACAATGTGTGTAAACCTCTACCCCTCCCGTCATATCCTTGAAGATATTGATGGTATCGAACCATCTGGCCACTGGCTTTACGGTCGGTGTAAGGCAGTCTACCCCTCATCGGCAATATGACTCTTTAACTGAGATACACTAGAGGTACTTTGCTTGAATCTGTGCCTGACATTGCAAGCTCTAGACTTTTGGGGTTCGTTAGGCTACGGCAAGACCAAAGCAAGACTCTTCTTGCAATTCCAAGGACTGGCTTGGCCTGTCAAGAAGACAAAACTGCTAGGATACGCACCATCGGACAGCGAGGAATCTGATAGTTGTACCGCCTGGTCTGGACTACCGGCACCGACTCGGTCATGACGGCGTTGAGCTGTCATCCTCCGATGGAAGCGCCTTATCCGACCTCCACGCCTCTTCGGCATTAGACCGCAGTATCGAGTGGACGCTTGGGCTGGTACGCAGTACAATGAGGGGTAACGACGGCTGGGATCCCACTGGGGTCACCACTGCATGCTGGCTGAAAAGTCTCTTCTGGAGCTGGTTCTGGAAGCCAAATCCTTGTCCATCTGTTGAACTAACGACCACATGTTCTGCCTCTGCGCCTGATAGCCGATTCTTTCCGGGTCGCTTCCGACGCTCCTTCACCGGCCTTTGACGGCATCACTGCACATTAGAGACATCGAGCCCCTCGGTCATCAGCCGCCCTCGCCAAGCATCTTGTCTGTCCTTTCTGTCACTGTGTGTAGTGTAACTGAGGCAGCGGTGACGGTGACCCCCTTTTCTTCACAGGAAAAGCATCCTAAGCTCGGCGTTTTCTCGATGGTGCTTGAATACAGCTATGGTCTGTGCTTGGACCATTGTCTCGTCTAACTCCTGGTTCTATGGTTGTGTCTAACATCTTGAGCTTCGCCTGAGTGAAGCGAACTATCTGAGACGTGACAATGGTAACAACATATCTGAGTGAAAGGTCAATCTACGGCATAAGAAGGTTTATTGAAGTGATAAATGCTACATTTCAGGCAGTAGTTCGAATTTTGCGGACCTATGGAAGACGCAGCTTTGTTGTTGCTGTGGTGGTTGAGTGGACCCCGACCACGAACCAAGACTAAGACTGACTGCAAGGGGAAGGCCTTCAGGAACGGCCGGGGTGGAGGGAGTGGGTGCCTTAGACTCTTCTAGTGTCGGCCTAGTGCCCACTAATCAGTCATCGACTCCTCCCAAATCCTCTTTCTCTCTCTCTCAGTCTCCCCTTTTCCCATCCATGGAATGAAAACTGGATCAAAACACCGCTTTGCGAGACAAAGCATAATGTTACACAGCTCGACGAAGACGAAACACGAAAGTAAGGGCAGACGGGTTGAGAAGACGATTGCACAATGGAAGGCGCGAAAATCAAAATTAGACTTACGGCCATCCGGGCGAATCCGAATCGATCCAGGGGTTCGGGGCTCAGGGCTCAATCAAGGGTCAGCAAAAATCGAGTGAGACTAGCCTCGCGATCATCAAACCCTGTCTGGTAAGACTGCCAGACCCCTCTTCCATGGATCCGAATCCAACAACCTCGTCATTGGGCTGACACACTCAGGAACCAAAGCTAATACGGGGCCTGGTCGGGTTAGCGACTTCGCTAAAAAACCACATCCAATCGTCCATATACTCGACCGGGATAAGCCTGCAAGATTCTCACCCCAAGGACCCTAAGAACACCCTCGAGAGGCGAGAAAAAGGTCGGGCTCTCATCCACTCCGACCCAGATCATGACCGCCAACACAGTGCCGGTGCCACCGGATGCGCTGGCGGAGAGATTCGTGGCGCCGTGATTTCTCTCCCGGCAGGCGCCGTGTAGACAATTCTCAACGTGAATAATGCACTCGGGGCATTCTTGATCGCCCTGGGGCCAATCGACTCGCGCCAAACCCCCCTTGCGACTCGTCGAGGAATTTTTCCGACCCATCGCTCGTGTTGTGGGCTTGTGGCGCCTGTTGTTGTTGTGACGGGCTCGAGACCGATGGCCTCGAACCTTCATGGGGGCTCTTTTTGGATTCTTATTTAGTGTCCTCCCCGGCTCCTCGCTCACGGTTGTCCCTTTTTCTTTCCTGCTACCCCGGCGCGTCGCATCAAACATCGCTTTGTTTCACACTCGTTCGGCTTCGAGCAGCGCTCCCCCTACGGAAATTCTTCTCCAACTGGCATTATAACTCAGACGCTCACTCATTCGCGTCTTTGTCCGCCTCCTATCACTCATTCCTTTGAAACGGTAGCTGCGCTCGCCCCATTGCGATTCCACACGTATATATCTTGTCCGGCCCCGGTACTCGATCATTTCAGCCAACAAACCATTGCCTATACCACTCAAATCATCAACATGAAGATTAGCGCTATTGTCTCTTCCCTCTTCTGCCTGGCGGCTGCTCAGCTTGTCGCCGCCGAGGGCGATACCACCTCCACCTCAACGGTGACCACTTTCCTCACCCGGACGCTGGTGCACGTCGATACCGTGACGTCTGGCGCGTCGACCACGTCCGCACCTCTGATTCCCACCCACGCTGTCAGCGCCCCTCTGATCAGCAGCTCCGCTGTTGTCAGTTCCTCCGTCATCCCGACCTCACTTGTCGTTGCTCCTTCGGCTAGTGCCTCCGCCACCTCTTCTACGGTCTTCACTGGCGCTGGCAACGTCAACGCCGCCGGCATGTCTGTTGCGCTTGTCGCCGGGTCTCTGGCTCTGATCATGGGCGCTCTGTGAGCAGACATTCATGCAACAATGCCGGCTTGGTCGCACATTGTATGTGCTCGGGGCTATTAGGGCCCGGACTACGAACGATGACCGCCAGACTTCTGACCACTTTTCCTTCTGGACTGTTTCTATCTTCTTCATCACTTCATCGCTTATACTTAATTTCTCTTCGTTCGACCGCATGGTTTCCTCGACCACGATCGAGAAACAAGACGGACGCTCGGTTATGGATCCATATACCCAGTTTATGACGTTTCAGATATGACGAGTTGATGGATTTGACGGCTGGGATTGACCAGCGCAGGTTAGTATCTTTTGAGAAACCCTGCTTATATACCTATTTACCCTTCTTGGGGTCTGGCTGTGACTTCGAAGCTATGCACATAAAGCAGTGAATCAAATGTATAGTGGCCGACCCCACATTCCAGTTAATCATTTTATGAATATATTCTTAGTCGTGCAGAGGCAATCCCTCAGATAAAGAGTAGATGTCTAAATCGAAGCCGTAATGAGCTGTAGTATTGAATCAATACTCACCTGCTCCACTCTCTCGTACTTCTGTCTGACTTGGGCTGCGCTCGGCTCTCCGCTCAGATCCTAAGCCAAGTGGCACGCTTCTCTTATTTCTTGCTTGTACGGGTAGTAGCATTAACGCCTAGTTATATGACTGACCAAGGCAAAAGACATCGGAATCAGGCTCAGATACAGCTGCACCTCTTCATGTCACCCAGGAACTATTCGCAGGTTTCCCCTGCGGGCAGCCGCAGGACGAATGTTGCCAGGGATTTTCCCAGACAGATGTGGTGGCCCGTCGTCCAGGGCGCGTAGGCGACCAATTTGTTGCGGATCAACCACAGTTTACTAGATTACTGCCATGGAATGAAGTCAATTGCACGGTCAAAACAATCCTCACAGCAGTGAATTGGGCATCGTGGAGCTATGGGTGGTGGGTGGTATTCCATCTTTGGTGGTCCCTCTGTACTCGATCACGCCCGTTGTTTGCGACCCTAGTAGTATGTATGTTGGGGCCCAGCTTGTTTTGTTCCATGCAAGGTCGCCGTTTGAGTAGCCCGGACTGATGGTCCGACGGCGAGGTTTCCAAGCAGACGATGCAGCATGGAGACTGGGGTAGGCATGGTTGGTGGTGTTGTATTCATTGCGAGAGGCGGCCGTTATTGATCTAGAAACCTACAGTAGTACTGATACTTTGAAGTGAGTTAGCGAGCATAGCAGTATGATAGATACACAGCCGCAATGTTCGTATGCACTGAGTATTAAGACATGAAGTATCAAGCTAAGTACTGTTACTAAGGATGAAGGCATTTTAGAAGAGTATCTATTAATCGAAAGTTGTAGGCATATGTACATAAGAAGTAGTGTAAGGTCGCGCAGTGTGAATGCGACGGTGTTCTGTCCCCACAAAATCCTCCCTCCTCCTCCTTATCGCCCCGCTTCGAACCAGCGCGACGAAGACGCGTCCAACAACAACACCCAGAAAAATGCTTCCTCTCCTCTAATTCTTCAACATTCCTCAAACGGGCGTTTCTTTCCCCCCCCTTGCAAAAGTCTGCTTGAATGACAGATTTGACACCTCAAGGCCAATAAGCCCAACGCCACCGGCTCGATTCTTCCTCCGGGTGGGATCGACAATTCTCTCGGACGTCATTCCATCCGAGCTCTTGTGACGGTGATCTGATCCCGATCGTCGGATTTCCTTTCCCTCCCTCCTCTTTCTTCCCCACGGCGATGGTGTCCTCTTGATTTTTTTTATTTTCATACCAGAACCTACATTCCGTCTTGTACCCAGCAGTGTGTTTAATTGGACTCAAAAGAGAGACATAGAGAGGAAGAATGGACCTAACCCCCAACGACCCCCCGCTCCCACCGCCGCCCCGTCGCATCCACCACCGCGCCTCTCCAGCCCGTCGCATCGCCGGCGCAGCAACAGCAACAGCAACAGCACACCACCTCAACCACCACCATCAATACAACCGCCTCACCGTTCGCTCGCGCGGTGACGACCGCTCCAGCCAACCGTCCAGCGATCCCGCGTTTTTCTCTAGCGACGACGTCCCCGGTTCCGGCGGGTTGGAGAATTATACCTATGCCAACAAGTCAGACACAGCGGCTGGCGCCACCGCGAATCACTATGCGCCAGCTCAAGGGTCAGGGAGCTTGGTGGGCAGTCGGAAGCGGCGGTACCGCGGGACGTGGTGGGGGGAGAAGATGCTGTCTTCCGGTGGGCATCAGTCGCCACAGCAGGAAGGACCGAAGCGCAACAAGCGGGTGGATTTCAAGGAGAAGAGGCTGGTGGATAGTGGGGTGTGGATGGGGAGTGATGATTCTGGGGTCTTGGCATCGGATGCGTCGTGGGGGGAGGAGCTTTGGGGTCAGTTTGTTGGGCAGGGGGATGATGCTGGGAAGTTGGAGTCGAGGAAGGAGGTCTCTGGGATAGGTCCGGGTGGTTTGGTGCAGGATGAAGGGGATGACGGACTGGACAATGAGGAGCAGCAGCGGCAGCGGCAGCGATGGGGGACACAGTCTTGCGGCTCGGGGGTCCGGGGCTTTCAGAGTCAACGGGGTGGTGGTGTGGGAGGAAGTGGCACCCTGGGGCTAAGCGGCTTGAGGCGGGGCGTTGAGGAAGAGCCCAGGGAGCATCAGATCGCGCGGGCGATCGTCAACGATTGCTTGGAGAGGGGGGACGATAGCGTGGACTTGAGGTGAGTTCCCTTTTCCGTGTAATATGAAGGGCTGAGACTGACGGTGATAACTAGTGGTGGCAATCTCCGCAGTATACCTTCCGGACTGCTGCGTCCGCTGCAGCATCTGACCAAGTTACCTGCCATCAAGGAACCACCCATCACGGAAGATGTCTATACCTCCCTGGAGCCGTTCCTGCGCTTGTTTCTGGCGGGAAACTCCCTGCCCAAGCTGTCTGGCGAATTGTTCGAGCTGGACTCGCTGCGCGTCTTGAGCTTGCGCAACAACAAGTTGACAGAGGTCCCGCCCGCGATTCGGAGATTGACCCTGTTGCAAGAGGTCAACCTATCTGTGAACCGGCTGCGGAGTCTGCCGTGGGAGCTGCTGTGGTTGATTCGCAAGGGCGACCTCAAGCATCTAACCGTGCGGCCGAACCCGTTGCTGCAGATCGAAGAACAAGAGCTTCTGGAGTGGCACGTCCCCCAGAACGAATTACGGTCGTGTGTCTACGAGGGACCCGCGGTGCCTGAGGAAGCTTGGGCCCCCGTGCATGTCGCCACGGGGCCTGTGCTGCGATACAATGCAGAGGGCATGCTGCTGGCCGAGCGAGAGGTCAGCAGCAGCTCGTCGACGGTAATGGATATCGACACAAACGCAAATGCAGGCACATGCACAAAGATCGTACCCGCCCCAGCGCCCTTGGCCGCATCGCGTGTCCCGTCCCTGCGTGAAGTCGCCCTCCTCTCACTTACCCGGTCCCCGTCATTCGATCTACTTCCCGACTCCGAGCTGGCGGGCTACCCGGCCATGATGCTGCGGCTGCTGCGGGATGCAAGGGAGGTGCGCAGCAGCGGCGGTCGGAGCTGCTCGGTGTGTCATCGCAGTTTCGTCATCGCGCGCACAGAGTGGATCGAATGGTGGGATTGCAGCACGTATGAGAATGGATTGAAGGGCCCGCGCCCGTCCGGGGAGAGTCTGCGTCCGCTGCCTTTCCGGAGACTAGGATGTAGTTGGGGCTGTGTGCCGGGCGCCGAGGTTTAGTCGTGTTGATTTGTGTATATACGAGCTCAGCCCTTTTCTTGTCTGGTTGGGTAGGGTGGAGAGATGTATGTGGGTGTATTTGTCTTTTGTGTTGTTTATGGCATGGCATATATAGATCATCAGCCGTCGATTTTCTGGGTCTGGATGAGCGTGTCTGACCGGGTTGTTTGAGCATAGTTCTGCCGTTTTCTTTCATCATGTTTAAGTTGTTTTCAACATACGGCGCAGTAATCAATGCTGGAGTCTTGATGCTTCGTGAACGTCATTCTTCCTGATCAACTTCTTCATTGAGGCAATGCTTTACTTCACAAAGCCCAGGATCAAAACAACCGTAGTAGCCTTCAACCCTTCTCTCATGGTTGGGCACAAGGGGGATCAGAGCACTTCAGAGCAACTAGTTACCAGTCTCCAGTAACAGCACCAGAATCATGCACACTACAATTTCCCTTTAGACCTCGGCCTCTCCACCCCCAGGGACGCCAACGAAGCCTCCAACCCCTCCTTCGACGCACGTAACATCTCCTCTCCCTCGGATTTCCTACTGCGATAGTCCCGCCAGAACCGCTCCTCCCTCTCATACCGCTCAAACCAGCGACCCAACCACCCCGCCGCCGTCTTCGCGCACCACTCCACATCCTCCACGACCAACATATGCGACCCCTTCTCCAGCACCGCCTTCTTCACCCTGCCCTCTTGCACCCCGCCACTGCCCCCGGTCCCGGATCCCGTCAGCCGCACCTTCTTCTCCTGCTCCCCCGGTGGAGACAGGTAACTCCGCCCGCCAAAGACCCAGAGCACACTGGGCCGCACAAACGGCAGGTTGCGCATGCTGGCCTGGCACTCCGGGCGGGAGACCAGAAACGGCCGCTCGAATTCCGCGTCCCAGTCCGGAAGCAGCAGGTAGTCCAGTTGCGCGCTGGCGGGCTCCAGGTTTGGGACCGAGTAGCTCCATGCTTCGTGGTGCTTGGTGGTGGTCAGGGTTACGGCGGGGGGTGCTGCTGCTGCTGCTGCTGCTGCTGCTGAGGGGTTGGTTTGAGGGTTTGTGGTTGTGGTTGCTGGGCCGGCGTCTGCGGGGGTAGTGGGTTGGTCGACGTCAGGGTATAACCGGGTGGGGAGGTCGCGCAGCCCGAACTGGAGGTATCGGACTGCGGCGCGGGGGTCCCATTTGCGCAGCAGGGATTTGCGGAGCGCAGCCTCAGCGGCGGGGCGGGAGGGCCAGAGGTCCTTGCGGAGGGCGGCGGGGCGCGAGGGGTTGGGGCTGTCGGCGGTGCGGCCGGCGAAGTCGAGGATGACGGGTTCAATGAGGATGAGGGTTGAGAGGAGGCGTGGGTGCATGATAGAGAGTTGGACGCTGATTTGGCGGATTAGTGCTTTTGTGTTTTTCTTGCTTCAATTGGGTTTGGCGTCTGAAGTTGAAGAGGGGGAAGGCTCATACAGCTGCGCACACCCCATGCTGTGGGCAAATCCAACAATCGGACGGGATATCTCGTCGCGGAAATGGTTGACCATGTGGAGTAGGTCGCGGGAATGGTCGAACCAGTGTGCTGGTCATTTGTTAGTCCAGGCTGTGGGATAGCTGCGATCACAGTACATGGAGTAGGGAATCGTACTGTGATCCCCTTGGACATACTCGTTGAGTACCCCGCTGGCCCCCTGGTTGGAGACATCGGCAACCCAGATGGCCCGTAGGGGAATGGAATGCAGCTTCATCTGAGCGTAGAGTTCTTCCCATAGTGGCTCGTAGACTTCCTGCATCGAATTGTTAGTGTGTCGTATTATTAATGCGACGAGAGGATCCATGTACGTTCCTTGGGAAAGCCTGTGCCGTGGGCCCCAATGATGGTGACGGCATGCTCAGGTATAGGATCGGGCCGGTCTACAGGGACGTATTGCTTGATGGCGAGTCGGAGAGGAGTTTCCTGCCGACCCTTAATGGCATGGTGATGGTCACGGATATGCTGGCCGGGGATCGAGTGGTCGATGATGCGAAAGGGACCAGTGTCCATGGTGGACAGTCTGATGGAATAATTGATTGATGCTTGATGGTAGTGAATCTGGAGGGGGAACAGTGAGGAGTTTAAGTTACAGTACGATGCTTACTTAGTACTGAGCTCACCTGATCAACAACCATGCGAGAAATGCACCGCTGCATGTAACAAGAGATACAATCACTTTATTTACTTTTGGAATGTTTCTAAGTGAATGACCGAATTTTTCGCAATCGGCCTTGCCATAATCCTTACAATGTTCAAAGTGCATGCATGCATGTTCTTTTCGCCTGTGAGGAGACTTATAAGTGTGTGGTAAGGAACTCAAATGCATTCTAATTCTTCAATCTCGATCAAATCGACTTTATCTCCACGAGAGGTGCAACTCACTAGCATCGGGTGGCGGACACCCAGAGAGGGATTCGCGACCTGCTCATTGGTTTTGATTTGGGTTTTGAGAAAGTGATCCTTTTTCGGGTCTTGGATAGCGTGCTTTCTTGGTCTGCTGGAGGTTCTGCCTCACCCTCCTCTTTGGGGCTATCCTCTTGAGCCTGCTCTTCAGCATCTGCATCTTCAGGAGTGTCTTCCAGATCGATTTCTGGTTCTTCTTCAGAGGGATCTGCAGCAATGTCATCTTCAGGTTCCTCACCAAGGGAATCTAGGCATTCTTCCGCGTTCTCTTCAAGAAAGTCTTCAGCTTCATCCTCTGGCTGATCTTCCTGATTCTCTTCAGCATTCTCTTCATAAGCATCCCCAGTTTCATCCTCTGACTGATCATCGTGAGCATCCGTTTCACTGTCCTCCAGATAGTCCTTATCGTCGCAGTGCAGCGCCTGAGCTTCTTCGAGAACCTTTTCGTTGGAGTTTTCTGCCTGGCTCACTTCTGTCTGATCTACAAAAGGGTTCGCTTCAGGGTCTCCTTTGAGGTCTTCTTCATGAGCAGAGTCAGCGTCTTCATAGTCCCATTTGTTGGCTGAGCAGTGCTCGTCAGTATCTGTCTCATGATATACTTCAAGGCTTGCTCTAATGCTCCTTTTAGAGCTCGATGGTGTCACCACATTTTCCGGATCACAAAGATCGAGCGAGCTACGAGATTCAGCATCATCTTTGACGGTAGTCCTTGCTACCCGCTCACTGCGATTGTAGTGCTTCCGAGCGGTTCTGGTTGAGTCTATGCACGACCGAATACCAATCCTCGTCCCTTGGATATGCTTCTCTAAGAGCACGTCCATCGGTCCGGGCAAAGCGAGAAGAGCCAGGGTCTCAAGATGATCCGCTATATGCCGCAACAAGCCTTCCTTGCTCTTTTCTCGGGCCCCTCGATCATCTTCGCGAAGGCCACAGAAAGGGCAGTGCTTGAATTCCAACGAGCGCTTACGCGTACTTGAATGTCGGTGGTTATCCATATGTTTTAGCCATGTCCCAACACTTCCAAAGGCGCTGGTGCATGAATCCCATAAGCACAAGAACGGTCGAACATCGTGTATGACGTGATACTCCCACCCGGCTGCATCGAACTCGTCGACCGGGAAATATGTCATGCAGTAAGGACATGTCAAATCAGTTTGATCTCGTTTGCACACCGGCATCGCGGGCCACTGGAACACATCTGGCATTGCACTCGAACGTGCCTTAGATCGCCCCCTTTCGCGGGTGGTCTTCCAATGCTTAGGCTCAGATCGTCGTCTGTGACGCTTGTGCTGGTGGTAACCGATGGCTATGCGGCGGTCGATAATCATCGTTCTGAGCTGAGCGTGCAGCTTCGGATCAATGGATGGAAACATTTGCTCGATCATGAGAGACACTAGGTCCTGAAACTGAGATGTCACATCGTTTTTATCTGTGTCCAGAACAGCGTAAGTAAAAGAAGACCCATGCTGCCTGGCGCATGGGGATTTGTGCCATTCCCTCCAGGCATCGGAATCAAGCAGATGCTCCCTCATCTTGTCAATGCATTTGTAGACCTCTTCCAGCAAGGTGACCCGAGTCGAAATGTAGAGTGCAAACAGATTGAACCGCATGTGCCTGAACAACTCTGTGAATAAGTGTTTGGTCTCCGGGTCCCATTTCTGGTACTGCTCCGACTTTCTCTCACTTGTCAGAAATTGGGATTCCTTGACGAAGCGCCTAAATCGGTCATTTACATCCTCGAACGAGAGTGTCTTCTGCACACGAGTTTCGACCAGGTTCTGTAACATTTCTCCGCAGATCTGCGCCTGCCTATAAAGAGTCTTAGTGGAGAAAGCTGATGTGAGGTGGTTCATTTTGCCTGGCGGAATCGATGATCGAGGAAGCTGGGCTCTAAGCAGCCTTGGAAATATCCTCTTAATAGAGTGCTGCGTAGAACTCTGGCTCGAGGCTTTTATAGGAGAGTGAGACGTCTGCCGCAGCTTTGTTCATGGAGGAAACAAAGGGACTGTTCTTAAAAGCTTGTTCGGTCTCTCATCTTCTCGAAATGTACCGGTAATGGCATCGCAGTCCGTGTAATTGAGCTATGCATAGAGAAAGACAAAGAACACGGTTCCTTTATCTCTCGTTCTACCAATTCAGCTAAAGCTATTTGGTCCATTCTAGCTTGTGTTATGCAAGACTTGAAGTTTAGGCTTTTTTTCTCAAGGCCCGGTCGGGACTTGCTGAAACCTCAGATTGTGCACTCAGAAGAATGATAGAGAGGATAAATCGATGACTGTCGGTGATCGATAAGAGCGAACACGGCGTCAAATCCCCAGCAGAACATGCCTGGGGATTGAATCTCTGTGTCAGACTAACTTTCTCTGTCTCACGTACCCTTCAGCCGATTATCACTCTGGGACTTTCTTCCCCCTCATCTGTCACTCACTTACTCCAATCCTCTCCCTCTTCCTCTCCTCCACTCCTCTTCTTCCCCATTCCTCCAAGACTCAACGTGAGTTCTCTGTCATGGAACAGACATCACCGTTCCCATTACCAGGCATCTACCATGGCCAACGGTTTCTCGCTACTGTCGTGGAAACCCGTGCTCAAGACAACAGCCCGTGGGTCTCCGTTCCCATCGACGAGACCGACCTGTCGAGGGGCTTTCGAGACATCAGCTTCCAGCAACTGAATAACGCTGCCAACCATGCCGCCCACTGGCTACAACAGAACCTGCCTGCCACCACCGAGCCGTTTCAATGCTTTGCGTACGCAGGACCTAAGGACTTTCTCTATCCCATTCTTGCTGTGGCCGCGGCCAAGATCCAGAAAGTGGTGCGTCCTTTCGTCTCTCCGCAGCTTCCAAAGAAGCAATGTTGACAGCAATCTAAAGATAGTACTTCCTTCTCCCCTCATTACGCCCGAGGCTCAGCTACGCATCTTCCGACAGAAGAAATGCACCGTGTATCTGCGACCTGCTTCGATGGCAGAGCATGTCGCGGGCATCCTTCAGGAAGCGCCTGAAAAATTACAGACCTTGACGGTTCCGGAGCTTGGTGAATTCATGCAAGACGCTGAGGCTGCTCCTTATACGTACCCCAAGTCCTGGGAGGAGGGAAAGGATGATCCGTGGATAGTTTTTCACACGTCTGGTACAACAGGTAAAGATTTCCATTCATTCTTGATCATGCAGTCATCACCAGCTGACAAGATTGTACACAGGCTTTCCCAAGCCTATCACGTATACCCATCGGATGATGACAGCCCCAGATATCGCTGCATCTCTCTCTGACATCGAGAATACTCATGTCCATCAATATGCTCTACAGCGGTGGTATACCCCGTTACCGTCGCTTCATGTACGTCTATGCCTCCCCATAGAGCCGACCAGGACTGACTGTGCTAGTTGACGGGTACGGTGATGACCCTGGCGATGACATCCTTTGTCCACATGACTGCTGTTGTGGGCCCCTCAGCAGCTCCAACACCCCAGCTGGTTGCCGACATCCTGCGATACGGGCAGGTAGACGGCGCCCTACTCACACCTGCTCTCATCGAGGAGCTCTGCCTGCTCTCTTCAGGGCTAGAGGCGCTCCGCAAATTGAAATACATCCACTTCGCCGGGGCCCCGCTCTCCCCTAAAGCCGGCGCCCAACTAGCCTCCCACGTCCATCTCGTCCCTTGCATTGGCAGCACCGAGGCGGGCGGATACTTCACCACCATCCCGCCCAGAGACCACCCGTCATGGGACTACGTTACCTTCCAGAAGCACGCAGGCGCCGAATTTGAGCACCGCTTCAACGACCTCCATGAGTTGGTCTTCGTGCGCCGGCCCGACTGCCCCATGCAGCAGATCTTCTCCGTGTACCCCGACAGAGACCGTTTCGAGACCAATGACTTATGGGTGGAGCACCCGGACCAGAAGGGCTCGTGGAAGATCATCGGCCGGACGGACGACTATGTCGCCCTGGCGCATGCAGACGGGCTGCACGCCTCCCTGCTCGAGCCGGAGATCGAATCCCACCCGGCCGTGAAAACGGCGTTGATCGGTGGCCATGGTCGGCCGGCGCCAGTGCTCGTGGTTGAATTCTTTCCTGAAGCGGAGGAGGGGGTGCTGGCAGCGGGGCAGTCGCTGGTAGACAGTCTCCGCCCGTACATTGACAAAGTTAACGCGCGGGTGCATGACTGCGTCAAGCTCTCGACGGATCGGGTCGTCGTGGCGAGCAAGGACAAGCCGTTTGTGCGAACGATCAAGGGGAGCGTGGCGCGGCTGCAGACGTTGGGATTGTACGAGGAGGAGATTGCGGCTTTGTTCGAGCGTGAATAGGCATGGATGGTTGCTTGACACTATGCAGCATTCCGTACGTAGTCTCCGTAATTTGATGAGAATGAAAGGACGATCAAATGTAGCTATGTACCAGCTGAGTACATCCAGACACTACCAAGGGATTCAGCGCCCGACTCATCATTGACGACCTCTAATCCGCCACCACGTTAGGAATCTAACCATATATATCACTTACAGTAGCTTTTCACCTCAAACTAGAATAATGTCCCCACAATCCTACCCCAGGACTACTATACTCCGTACAAATGGATAACCGAAAACCCCCACTCAAACAAAAGCAGACCCTCCCGCCCCTCCCACCGGCCCTTCACCCCCCAGCCCGCCTCCACTCCGTCTAGCAGACCGCTCATCCGTATCCAGCTCGCGGTCCCGATCCTTGTCCGACCGCTCGAAGGTAGCCAGCTCGGTATTCGATTGCTGCTTGATATTAGCAATCAGCCGCGACCCGTCGTCGCGGTTACTCCTGCGCGAGCGGACGATTGTGTTGGCTCGAGAGGCAGTAAACACCGCGAACCGCGATCTTGTGACGGCGCTGGCGAGTTTGTTGAGCAGGGGCCGCAGCCCGATCATGCAGGCGGCGGAGAGGTACAGGCCCGTTTCGACGGTGGTCCAGGTCATGAGGTTGACGTCTGCCCCTAGTTATTTGGTTAGTAGTTGGGTAGGATAATGGGGTTGGGTTTGTAACTGAAAGAGAAGGGGAGTGATTTACAAGTAGGATCATTCATGGACACGTTAGCAGCAGTGAAAAAGTACGAGGTACGCACACAAGAGGCGATGAGGCCGCTAACTCGGAACCAAAGCATTAGACATACATACATACATAGACAGACACCCTTTCAGGGGGTTGCGTTGCCAGACGCAAGACTGGGGAGGGAACACATACCAACTCCCCGACAAAAACACCAACGCAATCCCCGTCCGCCTTGCGAGGGAGGCATGCAGTGTCCACACGGTCGGAATTGGCAGCACCAGAATAATCACATCCGCGACGATGTTCAGCAGCCCGGACATCCGGTAGAACAGGAACTGGTCGAGGCACCACCCGCCGCCGGGCAGATTGCGGTCCCAGAAGTAGGCCAGCGGACGACATTCCGTGAGGCCGACGACGGCCTGCGCGAGCACGAACAACACCAGATACGCGATGGTCAGGTCGGTGACGATGCGGGTCACGCCGGGAGGGAAGATGCGGCGGAAGAGCACCAGGATTGACGTCCGCGAGAAGGTGTTGGAGAAGGCGGAGAGCCAGCTGAGTGCGTAGAGGAGCTTGCCGCGGATGATGATTTTGGAGGGGTTGTCCTGGATTACGGCTTGGACGTGGCGGCCTGCTCCCCCGTGGGTGATGACGACTGGTTTCAAGGTGGGCGAGTGTTAGTTGGTGGAGGTTTTGGAGGGTGGGTAGTAGTGGGTGTATGATGGGAGATGTAGTTCTTCGGGTGTAGTTATACTCACAATAATTCGTTATACATGTTCCGAGGCAGAGAAGCCACGCAGGAACGAGCAGGATGTCATCCCAGCCGCTGGTGACATGGGCCAGACTCCGCGCATAAACTCGCAGAGCGAGAAGCGTCGTTGTGAGGATCAGAATAACGGTTGTCGCGGCCATGAGTCGGCCGGAGATGTCTTCGTTCAGGTAACTTGCCGTGACAGCTGCCATCCTGCCAGCGTTCATTCTCTTGCTACTGTCCGTTGGGAAGCGTCATCAAAGAACCCACAATATGTGAGAGAGAGAGAGACGGGGGTCGACGAAGCTGCTGATAGGAGTGTTACACTCACTCACTACTAATATGAGGATGAAGAAGGGCTAGACATCTCTCTGCCCTGTATAACTCTGAAAACGCAGCAGTGGCGGGCCATTGGGGCCACCATGGGGAAGCGGCATGATAGACGGGAGGATTTGATTGTTTGTGAATCCCTGTATTACTTCACGTGCAGCAAACGGGGATCTGAAGTGGTTATTGGGGGGCTCAGACTCAGATGATCCCCGGAGCGAGCATCAACCATGGACGAGATGACCGGCCGCCCCCTCGCTGCAACCTCCACATCATCTCGCACTCTTACAGTATGTCAAACAGTGATGGGTGTTCATCTCACCTCCCTCAGCCCCTCTCCCCGGGCTAACAAATTGGGCTTCGTTGATGCCAAGTGCAAAGTACTACAGAGTGGTACAGACTGGAAGCCTGACTGGCCTTGCCAATCCAGTAGTAGCAGGCCAAATGCTCTCTCACGAACTTCCTGCATTCACGGCACATTCTCTTGATTTGCTATGAGCTTGATTCAAACGCACTTTCTCGCGAGTGTGGCTCATTGCTTCCTCGCAATCCAATGGTAAGCGAAATACAACCTACACAACAGATTGTGCACCCAACAATCAATGAATTTGTGCTGCGCAGAGATTGCACTGACAAATAAGACCGTCCTCGGCGCCTCGCTTGCACAGCTGTCTGGACCACCGTCCAGGATAATAGATTTCTGGAGACACATAAGACGTCAGATTAAGCCGACCGTCCTTATTGCCACAGGCAATATAAGTTTGCAAGCCGCACGCCTGGTCAAGAGTACGGAAGGGCTGGACTAGTTCCTCGAGAGTTTGCACGAAGCGATCAGCCTGCTGGCCTCGGCCCCGACATGCCAGGAACGCGACTAGACCCTGAACAATGGCTCGGTCACTGCGTGCGTAGTGCCGCACCGGAATGTACACCTTGGTATCGGGGTACTGTTGGCCTTGCTTGAAGCCGAAATTGTACAGCACACCTGATGTCTCATGATGTCTCGATCGCAAAGGCTGGTCTTGAGGGAAATCCTTGGGCAGCCCCAACGTAAGATGCCACAATTCTCGGAGCTCCTCAAAGGCCTGAGTATCCCAGCCTGGCGATGCGCCTCCCATCGAGAGAGTCTCCTGTACACTGTTGAAACTGGTGGCACAGGATCGGAAGTACACCTTGAGGTTGGCCACGGAGGGATGCACACAGTCAACGGCTACCCCAATGATGCATGGTGGAGTGGGCGACTGCTCCTGCCGTCGCAGAAATCGCTCGATCCAGTCATAGGCCGGAAACTGATGGTGCTGCTGCAGAATCCGGCAGGCCTGCTGCAGAACGTCAAGCCGTGAGCAGCCCAGCTGCTCGCCGTTTGAATGTAGAACGTGGTAGGATTTACATCTGTGCCCGTGCTTCTCTAGGTTGAAAGCCAGGAAGATTGTTGAGGGGCTGGACTTTGCTTGACAATCAGAGGAGGGTGACTCCTCGCCCGGCAGAGGCGTCGGTCCTTGAAAGGCTTGGGCAAAATGGTCAAACCAATGCCAATCGGCGGCCGGAAGGATTGTCCTTCGTAGCTGCTGCACGCATTCTATCGGTGCTGTCCGATTGTAGGGATCTGGCGACGTGCCAGCGTACCGCCCGATGGGCTCAAAGCTGTAGCGGATCATGGGAGTGGCCTTCTCCCAGCTCCAGCTGTATTCCACTGGAGAGAAATCGTCCGTCATGAAACTTTTCCATCGTGTCGGACAGGGCCTCTCTTTGTCAGCTGTCCCCACCAAGGGACATGGGCCCAGACAAGGGGCCACATAGCGGCTCATTGTATCGAGAGCCGCTTGCTGTGTGATGTAGTCATACTCCGCGCCTTCCATCAGTATCCGCAGATCCCGACCAAGTGTCTCTTTCCAGAAGACGAAATCGGCCACTTCGAGTTTGGCTGAGCTACACGAGGATGTCTCCATGGCGATCGATGAAGACAGCGTCCCTACTGAGCGTGTAGGACTGTGCGAAACTGTTTTCTGGAAATATCACTTGAGGAGTGACCAGTCAGAAAAGAATGCACAGTGCCTGGAAAAAAAGCAGTCTGAAGAGGGGGAAAAAAAAGAGGCGAGTTGGTTTGATCACTTAGTATGAACAAGTGAAGCACTGAGCATCCAGTGTCGGCTCCGAGTATATTGTAATGGACCATGGCTCGGATCACATATAACTCCTCTCGGAGTGCATTGCGTTTGTCTTCAAAACCCGAAAGAGCAGCCTGTGACACGTCGTTACGAAGTCCCTGGGATAATTAAACCAATTGAGCGCAAGAGATAGTGAGGAGCGGAAGTGAGGTGACCTCAAGGTAGAAGCAAGCGAGGTCGTTGTATGAGAATTAGACGAGCCGTACGAGTACCGCTCATTGTGCACTCAAAGAATCAGTCAATTCGGCGTGCTGCTGTCATCCGCTTGCCTACTAGTCCCACGTTCTCCTTCAGTCCACTTGCCTGGTCTATCATCCACATCACCAATCCACCGTCTTCTCTTCCTCTTCCTTCTTCCTCTTCTTCTGCTTCCTCCAGCCTGCATACCCAAGCTAAGTCACCATGATACAAGACTACCCGTTGACTATCATCGGGGCTCTTTTGTTCCTGGGTGGGTGGTATCTCATCGCCTCTATCACCACTCGCGCCAAACTAGCTCGATTGAAAGGCTGCCGAACGCCCAACAGCTATCCTCACCGAGACAAATTGCTAGGCTTTGACTATCTGCGTGACTCCATCAAGGCAAGGAAGAGCCAATGCTACCTCAAGCGCGAGCAACAGCTACACCAGCAGAATGGAAACACCTACCGATCCATCTTCCTAGGCCAATGGGTATTGAACACCATAGAGCCTGATAATCTGCGAGTCATATTCTCCAGCAACTTCGCAGACTTCAATACCGGAGCACGGCGTCGGAGGGCCTTCGGACCCCTTCTTGGGAACAGCCTCTTTCAGATGGACGGGACGGAGTGGCGGTCGACACGTTCCTCCTTGCAGAAATGCTTTGCGCAGGCTCGCACTGACGACGTTGACCTTTTCGAGCCCCATGTGCGAGATCTACTCACGGCCATTCCACGTAACGGAGACACGTTAGACCTAGCTCCCCTCCTCCATCACTTTGCGGCCGACGTCGCTACAGACTTTTTGTTTGGGGAGTCGCTTGACTCGCTCAACCAACCAGACAAGCTCGAGTCGGGCTTGTTGAACGCATTCTATGAAGCAGCAGCAGGATGTGAGCGCCGGTGGCTGCTTGGACCACTAGCTTTGTTCTGGCCGCAGCGATCATTCATGGCCCATGTCCGCACGGTGCATTCGTTCATCGAGCCATACGTTAACAAGGCAATCCAGATAGATAGTCAGAACTTGTGTAAAAGCGAGACTGAGGAGAGTCGGCCGACTTTCCTGGATCAGCTTTGCGAAAAGGTTCAGGATAGGAAATTGCTTCGGGATGAAATATTGACCTTATTCTTTGCCGGGGTTGACACCGTCGCAGCCCTTCTGGTCAATTTATTCTTCGTCCTATCAAAACGTCCTGACGCATGGAAGCGTATGCGCGCAGAAGTACAACCCTTACATGGCCAACGACCTACTCTACAGCAGTTGAAGGGTCTCAGATATGTGAATGGCTCTATTTTTGAGAGTATGAGGTCTGAAGACTAGGACAATGATGCCAACGATGCTAATGCCACCCCCGTCAAGGCCTCCGTATTCATCCGCCTCAAGCTTCGAACTCTCGAATTGCAAATAAGGATACGATCCTTCCAGCCGGCGGAGGAGCCGACGGCAAGTCTCGTATCTTCGTACCAAAAGGTACGATGGTGCACATTGCGACATATGCTATGCATCGCCGACGAGATCTTTGGGGAGACGACGCAGAAGAGTTCAACCCCGACCGCTGGATCGAGCAAAAGCAGAATTGGGTAAGACGTGTGTCCGTATGACATCAACAATAGCTTCTAAGTCATCATAGAAGTATATCCCCTTCTTAGGCGGACCGAGGAATTGCATAGGAAGTAAGTGTTCCGGCCAATCCGTGTTCATGCGGCGTCCGTTCTGACACCACAACCACTGGTGCAGTGGATTTGGCAATCAACGAAGCCACATACGTTCTCGCTCGGCTGGCGCAGAATTTCCAATCAATAGACTCCGCAGATCCCAACGACTGGGTCGAGAGCGCAGGTCTAGCGTTACAGTCCAAGAACGGAGCTCGGGTGGCAGTGACTTGGGAGTGACAATGTGACGAGAGATATGTAACATGGCGAGATCGAGAAACGATACTAGTAATATCTTACAGTTCCATAAGACACTACTGAGATCCGGCGTATCAGAAAGACCATGTCAGGTGACGCCGTGCATAAGTGCCTGCAGAGGAGCGGGTCTTGATATATGCACCACTTTGCTACGGTGGCCGTCGCTAGACACCCGGATCGGAGTTACAGCAATGTCTGTAGTCTAGCTTGAATTGTTGCACAAATCTGACACCGCTAAGAGCCTTGTTATAGTCCGATTGGATTCCTCGATACCCCACAAAGTATAGTAGGCTGTGCTTAAAGACACAGATAGCGGACAAGTCAGAGTTGGCTCTCGCATCTCGGACACACTGGTTCCGGATCAGAATGCAGCCTTTCAAATTTCACACGTCCCTGGTGGTTCAACAATGGAAGTTGTGCCGTCAGCTAGCAGGTGAACCCGAGGTGGAGGTGATCATCGACGGAGACACTCTAGACATCCCTCATGTTGTCTATGTTGCAAGGTGGGTTCCATAACCTTACGAAACCCCGTGCTAAATGATAAAAATCCAGACATGTAAGGAGTGTTCGCATTGCTCCCACAGCGTATGCAGAGGTCAACCGGGGCCACAATGCCTTACTGAAAAGTCTTTCGTCTGGCGAAGTAATTTATGGTCTGTGATCGCATCCACGCAGCCTTCATCAGCCTGGCAGTCTTACTAATGCTTCGTGATAAGGTGTCAATACTGGTTTTGGTGCCTCTGCGCATACTCGCACAAAGGATGTTCAAGCGCTTCAACGGGTCTTGACTCGAGAGCTTGGCTATGGCATCCTCCCTCCGGGTTCTCGTGATGTTCAACCTCGCCGACGCAGCGTCTGTGAGGACCATGATTTCTTCGACCTGGCACAGGAGGAAGCAAATGAGTCGTACCATCTGCCAATGACCTGGGTCCGAGGTGCCATGCTCTTGCGGCTCAATACGTTGATAAGAGGCCATTCGGCAATTCGCCCGGTCATCTTGGATCAATTGCAGGCCCTTCTAGCGCATAATATCGTTCCCATGGCGCCTCTCCGGGGCAGTATCTCCGCGTCTGGGGACTTGAGTCCGCTAGCATATATTAGTAGTGTCATCCAGGGCAAGCCCACAGTTCGCGTGTTCCCTCCTGCTGGCCACGCTCAAGATCTGTACGCAGATGAAGCCCTTGCTGGTGCGGGTATCGCTCCGGTGGACTTAACCGCGAAAGAGGGTCTTGCTATTGTCAATGGAACAGCGATTTCAGCCGCCTGCGGTGCTCTCGTGCTTCACGACGTGCAACACTTGGCAGTACTCGCTCAGGTCCTGACCGCCATGACCGTGGAAGCTTTGCTTGGATCTCCTGAGAGTTTCCAAAGATTCTTTGCCGAAGTTCGTCCACACCCTGGGCAGATGGAAAGCGCCCGGAACATTCGGGCCTTTCTGCGAGGTTCCAAGCTGGCTCAAAACAAAGACGGTAAAGACGGCGCTCTAAGGCAAGACAGATATTCCGTCCGCACTGCAGCGCAGTGGCTTGGCCCGGTCTTGGAGGATCTTCTCCTTGCCCACCAGCAGATGAGCATTGAGTGCAACTCAACCACGGATAACCCGTTAGTGACGCACGAGGGTGAATTTCTTCATGGGGGCAATTTTCAGGCTAAGGCCGTGACAGCAGCCATGGAGAAAAGTCGCCAAGGGATTCAGAGTATCGGCCGTATGCTGTATACGCAATGTCAGGAGATGATCAACCCCGCGACAAGCTGGGGTTTGACCCCTAACCTCGTGGCCGAAGAGCCCAGCAAGTCTGGCATCTTCAAGGCCATCGACATATACATCTCGGCTCTTCAGTCCGAGCTGGGCTTCCTCGCTGGTCCCGTGAATCATGTCAATAACGCCGAGATGGGTAATCAGTCGCTGAACTCCTTGGCGTTGATATCCGCCCGATACACCGCAACCGGAGTGCGGGTGCTGACTGAAATTATCGCCGCACACTTCCTGTCTGCTTGTCAGGCATTGGACCTTCGCGCCATGCAGCTGCAATTCCTGGAGTCGGTTCGCGATCCGTTCTCTGCGTTGTTGAACGAGCTAGTGCACAACATTGAGCCGAGTGTGGAGGGCGAAGAGCAGTCGTGCACCATAGATACGGAGGCTCTGGCGCCTACCCTCTGGCTCCACCTCGGAACAATGCTTGTTTCTACAGTCACAATGGATACGACAGACCGCTTTGTCCACATTGCGAAGAGTATGCGGGTGCCTATTCTCGATTGTGTCGGACCCAGCGTGTCGTCTCCCAAGCTGCTAGGAGCTCTACAGCGCTTTGTTGAGGCCACGGGCACCCTTCTTCTGGACGCATGGTGCGTCAATCGAGATGCGTACATGATCCACGGTGATGCCAGCGCATATCTGGGAGTGGCATCGAAGAAGGTGTATGCGTTTGTGCGTCGTACGCTGGGGGTGCCGTTCCTGTGCACAGCTCAGATCCTGACGCCCACGGCCGAAGCAATGCAGACGGGGCAGCGACGGGAGGCCCCGACGGTGGGCTCCTACACGGCGGTGATCTATCGAGCCATCCGACGGGGGGAGATGATTCCTTTGATGTTGGAGCTTCTGGAGGAGTGTCTGGCCGAGCATGAGTTGGCAGAATAGTTTATCTACACCTAGCAGATTACATTCGCAAATTTGAGGGAAAAGTTAGTGCCCTGTGCAAACCACAAACCTGGAAGACTCCTACTGTACACGACGCAATCAGATTGCCCAACCCATAATAGCAACTCCACATCTTAACTCAGTCCCGTTCACTACCATCTCAGCAAGAAACCTGTGCAAATTCACCGTGTAGCCTTCTCCATATCCGCAGCCCACAGCGCCGCACCGACCGTATTCGTGAAAGCCATAACGATAGAAGCGAACGGGATCATCTCCAACGCAAATGCAGTCATCCCGAACCTAAAAATTGAAGCAGAAGTCAGCTAGCTGCTCAGAAACACCCTCTATCCTCGTCCATCCTCCCCTCCCTCCCCCCTTCTACCAGCAACCGAGCAACAACACGAACAACAACAACAAGAGAGAGAACTTACGCAGTATACGCCCCCCTCCGTCCCTGCCCCTCCACCCACGCCTCCCTCTCCTTCCTCCCCCACCCCTTCAACTGGAAATACCGTCCATGCGCCACCGGGCCGACGCGCTTTCCCTGCAAATACACATACGCAATCGTACCCACCACGGGCACAAAATTCAGCGGCAGATACAACAACGACCGCACCAGCACCTGCGGCGAGAGCTTCTCAATCGGATGCTTGAGCCGTCCGCCCAGTCTCCCCCCTGCCCCTGTCCCCGCTCCTCCTTTATCGCTGCTGCTGCCGCCCGGGACGGCCGTAACGGCCCTCTCCCTTGCCACCAGCGCATCCTCCCCTCTTTCCAGCAAGGTCGCGTCAAAGGTCTCTGCCATGGCGTCGGCGAGGAGGAAGGAGCGCGCCAGGAAGGTGGTGATGGTGGAGGACTCGGAGAGGACGAGCAGGGCCGCCGAGAACGGGGCGAGGAAGGGTCCGGCGGTGAAGGTGAGCAAGGCGGCTTGTGGGAGGTAGGTGAAGAAGAACATTGTGGTGGTGATGCCCAGGCCGAGGGTTAGGGTCTTCGCCGAGCGCGAGAGCAGGGGTTGCCAGAGGGATTTGTGGTGGAGGGTGTAGAGTATCCCCTTCAGATGGTGTAAAGGATTAGTTTGAGGATGAGAATAATGGGGTTTTAAGGGGTCAAAAGGGCTCCAGGCTCACCTTTATTGGGTAGATGTATGTGCCGGAGAAGAGGAGGTCGTGGGCGATGGTGCGCAGGTGCGCGAGTTCGTCGAGGAGGGCGGTTTTGAGGGCTGAGGCCATTTTGGATGGTTGAAAACGGGGTTTTGCTGCTAGAGTGTAGAGGTGAATGGCAAGTGGTGGGTTTTCAAAATGTCAAAAGAGAGAGGAGGATGCTGTGGCTGTAGAAGACGAAGAGGGGGATGACGATGATCGTCATGATGTCGTCGCAAAGCTTGGCTGGACTGGACGCTTATCGATAAGAGCTTTCGATAAGATAAGCGGGTCCAAGCAGCGGAGGCATAGTTAGTACAATACATGTGTGGATGTGCCTCCCCCTCCCCAGTACATCATCGCTGATAAGAATAGCTGGGACAGTCGAAATAAGAGTTTTGTGCTCAGATCGAGGGCACTTGGATCTTGCAGCTATAATATCCAGGTTTACTCTAGGCCCGGTAGCAGGAGATTGTAAACCTAGCACTACTACACCAGCTGCGGTCAACTACACAAAGCGTACTCTGTACACCATCAAAATGACGCTATGATTATGGTAAGCAAGCAATGCTATCTAGCCACCCGCACTCAGTTTCCCTCATCGACAGCACTGTGCCTGGCTCCTGGTATGAGCCGCGCCAGCACGCCCACTGAACCCGTAAACGCCAAGCCACACTGATATCAAAACATCGCTAATGCAACACGTGCTCGAATCCAAACGCTGGGAAGACAAGTTTTTTTTGGCGGCCGCTTATCGCCGCCCTTCCGCCGGTGCTTGGTGCCAAATTGTATCCCCACTGAGGGCCGAGTAGCTCAACGTTGCATAATTCCGCCAGGTGGGTGGCGCTGACGATGCGTGTGCCTCGAGGAGCCCTGCATCCGTGTCGGCGCGGTGTTCCACGTCGGATAGCTCGTCCTCGCTGCCTGATGTGATCGGAACCGGAGCCGAGGATGCGCTGTGCTGGGACTCAAGGTCGCGAGAATGGTCGCTTTCGCCGACTGTCTGCTCCGCGGCTGCATCGCGTGCATCACCAACCTTGCTCTGAGCCATCGACCGAACCACGTCACCTTTGCAGATCGGACATGTTCGTCGGCGCGTCGTCAACCAAGGCGTGCTGCGCGACGTTAGAAATTGTAAAGAAGCTAGATCAACTAGGATACTTACATGCACTCAGCGTGGAACTCGTGCCCACAAGGCAAACTCATCACACGGCTTTCTCCATCGACGTACTCCTCCAAGCAGACAACACACTCGACCTGTCGTCCCGTGTACTTACGTCGCCAGAGAGTTGAGCCGGACTTCTCCTTCTTGGTGGTCGACGTTTTGGGTGCGCCCTTGATGTCCGAGTGACTTTGAGAGCCCAGCAGGGGCGACGTAGGCGAAACAGGCCCTGGGCTAACGGACCGCGGTGAGCTTGAGGCGGAAGACCGGGTGGTAATGGTGTGATATGTGCGCACGGGAAGACGATCCACCAAGGACTTCGGGGCCCGCCATCTCCGACGACGAATGCGGGACCGGAGCAACAGCAGAATGTAGACCACGGTTAATGTAAGGAGCGGACTGACAACTAGAACAAGCAAGGTATCGAAGAACGGGCTTGTAGACATGCTCGTTGGCGTCAAGGTGACCCACAAGCCTTCGTGATCGGCGGTCGTCGCGTCTGATTTACTGGTCATAGAAGGCTTGCGGATCTTATCTTCTGCGGCATCCATGTTCTTGCCGCTGGATTCCCGGCTCGTCTCAGGCTCTTCATGACTTGACCAGAGCTTAGAAAGCCAGCTGTTTCCAGACGGCTGCTCTTCACCATTGCTGCCATGATACGTGCTTTGAGATGGAGAACCACTTCCTTTCTGCGAAGCACCAGACTTGTCGACGGTGCGATACTCGCCGCTACCCGGCGTAATGCTGCCGCCCTTCAGAGCAGCAGCGGTGGATTGAGATCCCTTGCCAGTGCTTTGAATGCTGCTCCCTTCGGTATTTGCTGCAATCGCAGTAGGGTTCGGCAAAGCGCTGCCTTTCGCGGGAACAAGGTCTGGATCTCGCCAGTCCTGGACCCCAATTACGAACCCATCTGCATCTGAGCCGCTCGAGACCAATCCATGTTTCTTCCGATTAGGAGTGGCACTGCCTGCCTTTGTTTGGGCGCGGCCGACATCAGCCTGAGGCTGGGTCGGCAAGTGATCATCCCATGGATCTAGCATAACCCAGTTGATGTTACCACTATTTGGTGGACGGTGGCTGTCTTCTGGTGAGAACCAGGGGTGTCTCCCACTGCTACCCAGACCTAGAAAAGACAGCAAAGCATGGACAAGGCCACCTTTCGGTTTGACAGGAGCCACGATAGCCCCATCCATTGCGTGCTTAGTGGGTGTAGTTGAGGCAGCCCCCGCTGTGGTCGTTGCTGTATGAAGTTGTTGCTTGCCCAAAGTGCGATGACCTGGCTGGCTAGTTTGTGTAGCTGTAGCGTCACCCGTCTCCGTACTTTCCACCATCTGAGGTGGAACCAACGAGGAAAGCAGGTGAGCGGTAGTGTGGGAGGTGAACAGGGCAGGGATTGTCACGTTAGATGTATCACCCCGTGCATACATGGTCACCAAGCTCCCTCCCCGGGTATCGTCTCCAACAATCAGAGCAATGCCTCCTCGACGTTGCACCCATTTGACTTTCTCGAGGAAGCCACAGCCGCCTCGACTGAGCAAGACCACCTTGCCGTCGATCTCGGCACTTTCCTGCAAGGATTGGATATCGGCATGAGCTGTGGGTAGGTTCGAAGAGTGGTCTCCGGACTTTTCCATGACCGTGACATCTGTCCCTGTAGACTCTGAAAGCGGATGGTGCAGATGATCATCGGTTCCGTCGTCAGTAACTGGGCCGGCTTTTACTCTCTCCTTCTGCGGACGAGAGGTATCAACATCTGCGTGGGCATCTGCGCGTTTTTTCGTACCCTCACTCGAGGTTATAATTCGTGGTCCACCCGCAGTTCCGTCGGCCGTGCCTGGTTGGTGAGAATCACCTTCACCCCATCCTGGGATATCTGAGCAGCCTAATTCACCTTCCGCTCCCGCCGTCGTTCGTTCTCCGAAGCCGCTTCCAATCCAGAGTTGACCGCTCAGGCCCTTGTCGGGAAGCAATGGCCCAAACGCAGCAGGTCTGGCCAGGAAAAAAGTTGAATTGTCATCGGTCAAGCTGATGATTGCGGATGGCGGAAAGAGCGACGAGGGCAGATTGAAGGAGAAAAGGGCATGAAGACCCGTCGCTTGACCAGCAAACGAACTTGGAGTAGAGACGCGGGAAGATGTGGTTAGTGCCGACAAGAAAGTGAGCAGGATCGGAAAGAAGAGCAGGCAAAACACAATCACGATCAAGCGTGGTGGTCGCATGGTGACGCAATGCTTCTGAACCCCAGGCGATGCAGTATGATTGACCGTCTTTTGCCAGGGAATGGTGGGCGACAAAAGTGAGATGAAGGATATGCAACGGTCAACGTTCAGTATCCAGACAGTGGAACAATCGGATTTGGCGTGGAGTTGGAATTATTGGAGGGGGTACTAGGTAATGGTGGCACCCTGCGGTTGCTGGCAGAGAGTGAGTGGATCTTATGACCAGTCAGATGGTCGCTGCAAGACGACAGCACCCACACTCATCGAAGAAGGAGTGATAGTCCTGATAGATGATAAACAAAAGAGACCCAGATTGATCGCACAAAAGAAGGTCAAGCCTCCCCGAGGATGCGACAGAAAGCGAGGAGAGGGAGAAGTCGGAGAGGGAGGGGGAGAAAAGAGGAGGGGAGGGAGGGCGGAAAGGAAGGATGTCAACACGCGCGCGCCAATTTCCTTGTCGCCTATGAAAATTATCGAGTAGAACGGATGGTGTGGCCACAAACACGATTAACAGTCAGTAAGTGATAATAGAGATTGGAAGTAGTAGAAGTAAGGATTAAGGAATGACTGGCCTCTTCTTGCGTTCACTTCTCTCACTGAGACACGCAAGCATAGCCTCAGCCCCCCAGTCACGGGATGATTACTGCCTGAGGCTAGAAAGACCGGGATGATCATCCTGGAATCTCAGGCCAAAAAGTCAGGCAACAATGAATGGGATTGTTGTTGTTCTTGGATCACCCCCTCCTATCCTTCCTTGAACCACTCCATACATCCTTTTTAGTCCTTCTATGCGGTATCTCTATCTTCTCATAGCTTAGACTGAACATTTTACAGAATAGCAAATCTCCCAAGCCTACCCACCTAACCTCTTCAAGACCGACTCGTTTTCACCCCCACCCGCCGATCATCACCAGCTCCACTCAAGCACTCACTCCCTCAGCGAGGATCCACCTCTCGAGTCACAGACATTGCTTTTCTCAGACTCCTGACATTCCAATCCCTCAGAGGACTTCACCATCAAGCAATCGGCATTCTCCTGCACCGCATCAGTCATGTCTGATTTGTGAGACTTCCAGGGTCCCTTTTCCTTCCACGATCGTTCCAATGGGATGCACTTTGTCCTGCAGATCACCATTTATCCCCTTTCTTTCCCTTCTTTTAAATCGAGTCAACTACCCTAGCGCAAACAACTCTGAAGGACGAGGTGTCTTCCCACAGAGTGAGAACAATCAAGGGGGTCCGTCGGCCACTGTTGGCAGCCCCCATGCACACCATGCCTGACCGACGGGCACTGAGCAGGTGTAGTTTTAACTTCTTGTGCCATCATCAAAGTGGGACCATCCGGGCTGTACCCATGGCGGGGGCGGGACTGTGGCTGGTGCCCGTTGCGAACAATACGTTCTGGAATTGCCGGAGTGCTTGGAAATGACGTGAACGACATTCACATTCCCTCACCATTTCATTCTCCTTCATCCATAACTGATGTCTGAAACGTCATAGCAGTCGGATAGGGATGTACCATTCTTGGTTCAACCAAGTACCATGTTGGATTTACTGGTTTTAGGGTTTATCGCTGCTGAGAAGATGTGTTGGAGCTATTCGTCCATCGATCTGGCTTCTAAGGAATCTATCTCTATTTAGACCACATGCGACCCAGAACCGACTCCTCGACTAAAGTAAGAACTGCACAATTCCACTTGATCTGGTAGTTACTCTAAGCTCAGGCATTTTCTAACCTGATTACACATCAACGCTCGTCATGTCCAAATTCATGCACAAGGTTAAAGACGCCTTCACCGGCATGCATCACAGTCACAAATCAAGTATAAGCACATGTCCCAAGCTGAGCCTCCAATCCCATTGACTTGTGAACAGGCACGGACGACTCTCAATCTGAGCCTCAGTCCGAGAATTATGGCTCTGGAGCCTACGACCCCTCTGGTACTGGACACGATGCTGCTCATACTGGCAGCAGCGGTGCGAAACCTAGTGCTGACCCCTACACCTCTGGAACCTATGGCTCCGGAGAGAACACGGCGGCCTATGAAGCACACACTGGTGGCTATGACTCAAAGCCCTTGGGCAGCCACGGATCACGACCTGAGTATGGATATGGAGCAGGGAGCACCACCGCTCACGGTGAATATGGCTCAGCGATGACTGACTCGGGAATGCACACTGGCCCTGAGCGATTCGGGTCAAGTGATACCGGTGGGATGCATCAGGTCGAGCCCGGTAGCTATAATCGTGGGTCAAGTCAATATGAGGCTCCAGATACCGCTGGACCCTTTTCATCTTCTGCTACGGAAGGCCGCACTCAACCAAGCTTCGGCGGCGGGGGTGCAGAAGGAGGTAGTAGCTATAACACTCGCGGCGCGGGCGAGCCGACCGCGGCTGCTGATGACTTCAACTCGGGAGGTAAGCTCGATTCAGGCCGGTTGGGTGCCAACATGATGGGATCCAATATGATGGCATCGGACAACCTACGCTCTGCTGGTGGGGCACAGCGATTTTATCGGTAGGAATTCGCTCATGATGAGCGTATCGTGTTTCCTCGGTTTTCTATGCTTCTAACGCGCTGACTGCACAATGGGAGTGTCAAGTTCAGATAGTACCTTATTGTTGTCACCACTATCTTATATCTCAGTTAATGCTTCTAGTCTGATACTTATCAATATCTCTTGCTCCGCTCTCTAAGATATTAATTCTTTGTAAACCAGCTGTTCCACCTTCGTCTCCGACTTGAGTCCTTCGTTGGCGTTGCCACATTGTCCGGGAAGGCACGACTCAAATCATGGCTGTTCTCCATCGCCCCGATGTATTGTAGGGAAATTCTCCCCAAGAACACTTCACAACCACCGTCAACTTCACCTTCAGAGGTGGGGCCAAGCAACAGATTGTTGCCATGTCGCTGGTGCTAAAGCCTAAGAGACAAAGACGTCGTACGTGGTTCCCCCCCCCCAAAGTGAGAAAGAATAGCGCACAGTGAATGTGTGAATATGTGTGAAGATGCGCATTGCTAGAAAGTGCCTATCACACATGCTCATTCATCACCAACCTACCCGCTAATGACAGGCTGATCAGGACAGCGACAGCGAGGTCGTAGAGGCAAAGCTTTTGTGACCATCAAGAATCTCCCTCCCGAAAGAGCTCCAGCCGGTCTGAACCATCTACACTCCCCCGACAAACGTACCCAGACCTCGAAGTGGCTCGACAACGTGACGTCCATTGGCGTGAGTTTATTACTTGTGTTCTTTCTGGCCTGCATGATTCACAGTATGGGAAGACTGTCACTAACCCCGGGTTCTCTGTTGCTCGAAGGCACAGTCCTTCGACTCAGTTGGTGTTAGATCTAAGTTACCTCCTCTACCTCAGCTGCCCACTACTCCTGTTTCTCGTCAACAAAGATCTTTTTCGCTCCCATCACCGCGACCATCTGCTATAAGCAGGATAATACAAAAGTCTCTTGTACAAGGCTATCGGTCTCCATCGCGTGTACTTGCATCTTCAATTTCAGGAGAGTGTCCCGCATCGTCTGGATTGATCAAAGACGCCCTTCAAGCACCGAATCATATTCAGGAAACAACAAACTGTCAACCTCCACTGGACATGGCGTCACGGAAGTTCTCTTACCATCAACAAGATTTCTCTGCCTTCAGCCACCCAGATCTTGGACAGACAGATGACCATGAGCTCCATAGCTTGGATGACATTGCGTCCTCCCAGCCTGTCCCCCTACTTGAATTGTGTATGAAGACGAGCTCGAGGAATAAGGGCGCACGAGCTCAAAAGCAATGTCTGTCAGAGAGTGCGGTTGAAGTTGGTAACAGGGCAGCGACTAGTATCGACCAAGATCTGGTCTCAACCCGTTTTCTGACCTTTCGTCAATCCATAAGCACTGCATCCAAAACCTACAGAGATCAGCCAGCACTCGAGATTGCGGAAACTCAAGCAGATAGTGATATCATGTCTGACTCAGTCCTCGACACGGATAAAAGTATGTTTCGATTGCATACACTCAGTTCATCAAGATCTCCATCGCATCCGTCGTCTGCGCGCCACGCTAGCAGTACGGGTCGAGATATCACCGTTCAGCAACCCTCAACTCCCACGCGTGTGAATAGGTACAACCTTAGTGAATCCTGCCTCGATTCTGTCGTTGAACGCGGAGACACTGAGTTTCTACTGGGTGCAACTAGTCAGTACAAACCTTCGGCGCGTCTTTCTCGATTCTACAATACAAATGCAAGCGACCTCGGTTCTATGAAAGGCCTTGCACCTATACGCCCTGAGAGACAGAGTCTTGGTGAAGCAAAATCTGACCAAGGCTGGTTGGGTGCTGGTGATGGGCACATTCGACAGAATCCTTTGAGCTACTCGAAAAGCTCCACTTACTCGTATGGAAGCTCACACATTCAATCCCGCAGCTGCATTTCAGAGAGTCCATTCCAAAAACGAGATACTACCAGTCATGGTGATCATTCAACTCGCAGTATATCCCGAGCCGGCTCTTTATGTCACGATTCTGCATCTGAGAAATCATGCCCCCCTGCATCATCTCTGCATTTGTACGGTGCGAACTTCGATCAGACATACAATCGCTCTCCGTATGAATCCTTGAGAGTCCAACAAGAGCGATTCAAGCGCGCCGAGTCTCGCCGTATCTCATCGGGCCTGCAGTTTCCGATGTCTGCGTCCCAACAAGCATATAGTTCAGAAAATCTCTCTAAAGAGATTCTGGCTTTGGAGCAGACTTCAAAGGTCGTTCCCCTCTCACAGACTAGAACACCTCCGTATTCAGGGCCACTCCAGTCTTCACATCGTGTTCCCAGTCAGCGTCAAACGACAGATGCGCACAAGAGTGATTTTTCGAGCAACGCCGGTAGTGGTCTGTCCGCTGACGACAAGAGACGGATCTTCAAAGCAGAAGTCAATGCTTTGCTGAAAAGTGCTGCCGACGATCCCAGGGACATAAAACCAGAATTAGAGGCATACGAGCATACAGTTGAGTCACGAACAGCTAAAGCGCCCAGCACTGATAACAATCAGGCAAGTTTTCATGACACCGCTGTTGTGTCTTCCCTTCCCGGAGCGTCCGCCAATGTTGAAAAGCAGAAAGTCAAACCCGAATCCGGAAAGGTTGCGACTACTCCCTGGAGCCTACTTGAACGAGCTGCCCTGGACTCTGATAAAGTGAGTACAGCTAATAGCTGGCCTCCAATGCCCCGGTACAGGCCTCGGAATATACATGAAGCAAGACGCTTTGCTACTTGGGGTGATTACTTCAGCGCATGCTCATCTTTCTCGGATGTTGAAGAATCTCTAGAGTCAATCTCTTTATCTAAAGTACGAGATGAAGGCAATGGAGTTACTCCGCTGGATCTCAAGACACATGCCTCAGCCTACATCAAACAGCAGATTCTAATATGCGCGCATGAGACAAGCGTCATTAGGGACTCAAACGGGGCAGGGTTTCTACCCTCGGTGACAAGCAACAGCAAATCTCTAAAACCTCCTCCGGGACTGCACAAACCCGATGTTCAAATGGCAAACCGACCCACATGGTACGTTGATAGTATTATCCAGAATCAAGCTAGGCTGGAAGAGTCCAATGCTTGGTTTCGACCGGATTATCGTGGAAGTGAAGCTCTTCGTGCACAGGTTGCGTTATTCTCCGAGGAATATGGTAAGCAACTCAAAAACCAAGGACTTTCGACCGAGAAGTGCGAATCTGCGAAAGAAATGAGTGAATTCATTGGCAATGCTCTTGTCAACCTGTCTTCTTATGTCCTCGGGGACCGGGGGCAACAGACTGACAACTTTGCAAACTTCACGCCGGCACCTTCTGAATGTTCATCGCCGAATCCTGATAAGCATCGTACCTTTTTCGAACATGATCTATCCACCAATTGCGAGACGTCTCCCGATCGTAAAATCTTCCCTGGTGCCGATTTCAGTCGTTTTGCCAGGCACCGAACCTCTTCCGGCAACTAATCCTTTCACTGGGCTTAAGGAAGATCTCAACATCAACGCTCTGTATAGTGGACGGTTGAAGAGATGAGGACGTGTAGTCATGCTTAGCAACAGACTTGACCAAAAAATTGTTCGTACATGATGCAGGCGCGTTTATGCTATGACCGTGCATGTGAACCTACTATGGCACTAATTTGTTTCTTAAGATGTATCCGGCGCTCTGCGGTCTATGGAAATCTCCAGGTAACATGGTAGCACTGGTAATGTTTGTGGAATGCGGGTGCCACTTGCAAATTAACTGGGAGTTCTCACCACCACGTTGTAGGGGTCATCGTTCATCTGTAGTAGAGTACAAGACCACAAGTCAGTAGAGCTTCAAACCACTTGGTGGTCCCACGTCTAAGTTGAAAGGCTAAGAAACCCAGGCGAAGGTCGGAACCAGTGCGCAGGTGACTCTGCAGCGGCCGAAACACGGACTTAAGTGTATGAACAGAGAACAGAGAACAGAGAACAAGCATGGAACCCCTCCGACTGCCGCATCTCAGCCGCACACGACTCCATGAAGCATGTGCATCTTAGATCAAGCCTACAACGTCACGTAATTCGTACACATAATCCAGGCGGGTTGTGCTCAGGCAAGCAAATCTAAACTAGATTGTTTGTAAAGTACAACCTGTTCCTATCCCCATTGCACGCGATCTTCAGTAACAGTTGATCCATTTATCTACTATCTCCATCCCATATCACGGACATTTCGACAGCAAGGGAAACTGATTGGAAGGGAGGCCACATCAGGCATGAGTAGTATCTCTGTGCGAGCAACACCAGGGAAAAGAGCAAGGAAGACGGAAATGATTAAAGAATCAAGACAATGAAAGCGAAAAAAAAGGAGAAAAGATCCCGAAGCGATAAATTTGTACCAGCCATAGCGCCAAATTGCTAACGTGATTTCAAATTGCTGCACAGACTCTGCATGCGACCGTTTCTACGCCGGGGGAGAGACACAAGAAGAGAAGAAGGAAAGGGGGCTGGAGAAAGAGATATTAAGGGTGGTTTAGGTGCAAGACTTCAAAAAAGACAGGTTAGGGTAGGGTGTTGAGAGTGATGGTGGGGGGTATCCTCGTCTCTGAGGTATGATGAGGGCGGAATTTGACGGCGGTAGTTTTGCATGTAAAAAGGTAGTTTCAGAGGACAGAGAGTTGCAAGAGTCCCCTTCAAGTCGGTGTGTTCAGAAGGAGAGGATGGGATGTTTCATCTGATTGGTTGCGGGCAAAAGTGATGCTGACTGTCATGTTGTGTACGCATCTAACATGTCACCAGGTTGATATGGTGGTCATTGAGTGCGGCACAGGCTAAAATTGTTCGATGAGGGTGGAACGCGGTGCTGGCAATCGGGGAGGAGCGGTTGTGATGAAGGAAGCTTGAGTACGGTTCGAAGGTGGAGAGATAGGTTCCATCGACGTTGAAGGTTTTGACTTCGTGACGGTTCGTGCCTCTGTGGTTTGTCGAGATGAGGTTAGCAAGCCATTCATGCTCAAAGGAGATTAGTGACCTCCAGGAAAACACATACACCATGAACACAGGAGCATGCTCGTGGACGCTCAATGTACGCAGCGTGTCGTTTGTGGCGTTGAATGTAGAGATGGGCATGTCCATGCGTAGATCCCAGAGCTTAATCTCTCCATTGCGACTGCCGGACACGAGCTCTCTCAACCCACCACGCTGCATGTGGACGTTGGTGATCCATTGCTTGTGCTCGCGCCAAACCTTGACCATAGATGTTGTGGGCTTGAGACGCTGATCAAACACCCGAACTGCACCGTCGCCAAATCCCGCTACAAAGATGTTTCCCGCGACTTGATCCGATGTCAACGAGGTGATACACGAGCCCGAGCGAGCAGGAATATCCTGTGGATTGATCAGCTGCATTCGGCCTCTTGAGCCGAAGACCACTTACATTCGTGCAGACCTCGGTAGCAGCGTTCCACACCCGGATAACCTTTACGTCACCTGCAACTAATGCCTTACCCTGGCCTTGTTGCCAGTCCAGAACAAGTCCAGCGTTCCGGTTGCTGGGAATGAGTTCAGGTAGGGCTCTAAAGGCGGTAACGACTTCCACGTCATGCGCCGACTCATAGTTCCTAAAGACTTTCAAGACACCATCGGATGAGCCTGTCATCAACAAAGCTTGGTCATCTTCATTGATGTATCGAACTTCGTTAATCTTGGAACCAGCCGGGTTACCGTTCGAAAAGCGGTTGAGGCGCTTATGTCTTTGCCAATCCCAAATTCTATCAATAGCTTAGAGCATGATCGGGGCAAACCCTGTCACGGGAGAGACTTACGCGATTGTATCCTTATCATCCGCAACTGCGATGTGGTCCTCAAACTGATGGAAGCACATTTTCAGAGGCTGACTGCTATTAGACAGAAGAGACAATGAATTGTCCCATCGGCTGCTGCCCGCTTTACCTTTCAGGGGCTGGGTTTCCGAGATGATTTTCTCATTGCGACTTCGTCTCCAGAGGCGTTCGTTGTAATCGGCGCTGCCGGGCTCGTCGGGTTCATTAGGCTTCATCTGGGGTTCCCGGAAGTACTGAAGATGGGTGAGAAATTGCTCATATCCGTAGTGAATCTTATCGCTCATCAGGTGAAGGAGTTCTGATTTTACCTCAGTGGACCAGTCCAGGAATCGACTCATTAGGGGAATAGATGGGACCGCAGAAGGTTCCCGAGGCTCAAATCCTCGCGACGTAGGAGTTGGCGCTTGATTATAGGCTGTTGCGGGAGCAACTTGGTCGTTCACTTCCGGGGGTCGTGTCCATTCGGGAGGGGCTCGTCCTCGCGGCGTAATAGGCATTCGACTCTTGGGTGCGGTTAGAGACTGGGGAGATTGGGGTGGCTGGGTTTCGGGCGCATTCGAACCGCCGAAGGCTAAGTTCTTTAGCGAAGCAGCCACACTTGCAGTCCGTTTGATGCTTAGTGAAAGGTAACCTTCTTGCTTGGGAGGAGCGACTGCGGGAGGTGTCGGTGGGGGCGCGATCTTCTTCGACTCTGGCTTCTCGACCTGCAACGTCTGAGATACCCGATTAGATAGGTCCAGAATTTCGTCTCGGATCTTGTTAGTCAACAAAGCCATCGGCGAGTCCAAGAGGCAGATGTGAATGTAGTCGACGATCACGCCTGCGTCCTGGGCGATATCAGGGTGGGGATCAACAGAGAGAATTAGCATTTGCTTCCAGATGGTTCCAAAAGTGGTATTTCGTGAGAGACTCGGCGACTTTCGACTGGAGACTGCGGCGCCGTTAACAGGAACATCTGATACCTCCTTTTGGCTGGGGGCCCGTGAGCCCGCCTGTTTCAACTTCGAGACCAGGTTTTGCTTCTCGTCCTGGAATTCCTCGTATGCGGCAATTAAGAACTTATTCTGGTAGCGCTTGACGAATGTTGAAAAGAAGACCAATAGTTCTTTCCTCACTAACACGCTGCCATCGGATGCCATGGGCAAGACAGCCATGGCCAGAGTCTCCTCAATCTGAGCGACCTGATCGGTCAAGTCTGGAATGCCCAAGAAGGTAGTAACCGCATGCAACATTGCAGCTCGTACTTCAGGCACAGGATCGAAATTCAGTTCGCAGAGCCTAGCGGGAGCGGCGCACCGAATCCCCATCCACTTTGCTTCCGGGAAGTCGGACCACAGCATGCTGATACAAAGACATGACCACTGGCGCAGCAGAGGATTCTCGACATCCATGAGATGCTTGAGACACGAGTCAAAAAGCTCGGCGGAGAGGCACACATTCTGGCCTTGAGGATAGTTCTTGCAGAAGATTGAAACAATGAATGCGCACATGGCTCGATGCTCACTAGCGTTGCCAACAGGAATAGGAGAAGATGGGTTCAAGATGGAGATGAAGTAATGAATTCCGTTGTCCTTGAGCAGGTCATTCTGGACGGTATGGTCGACGGCCATGATTCGTGCCCAGATGAAGACCATGACGGGCTTCAGCTCCTGAGCTGCGGACTGCAGAAGTTTTACAACGTAAGGGAAGATGCCGATACTCAGAGCAAGGTGAACCGCCCAGGGACCCAGGTCAAGGAATTTACTCAACAGAATTAGAGCCCTCAGTCTGTGTGCCTGACTCAGCAGGACTTGCAAGACGATAGGAAGCTGATCCGGTGGGTTTTTCTCTGTGGGACCAGAGGACAAGTACACCTCGAATGCTGTGAGCTGTTCTGCAAAGAAGGTCGAATGCTGATATTCATATTGTCTGCGGCCCTCTTCGTGATCAATGAGAGCTGGAAGCTGCGACAAGACCATCTCAACGGCCAGGTCCCAGCTCTTCCACAAGGGATGATGATGGGTCTCTGGTAATTCGGGTGATGATATGGGGTGACATTTGTACGTGCGCATCACCCGCTCAGCCAGCAGGAAATTCCTGAACAATGCAGCCACCATCAAGTCTTGACGGAAGAGCTTCTTGAACAGAGCTCGGGGCAATGTGTTCCAAGCTATCGTATCAGTAATTGCGGTGAAGATCCAATTGAGCTCGCCCAATGGGCTGCGACGGTCCTGTAGGCGACCAGGTACCCTAAATTCATCAATGGAGATATTGGTTCGCAGGGGATTCTGGAGTATAAAGAAGCGCAGCGCAATCTCAATCGGGGTCGTCAGACAACAGGTGAATATGTCGGCGGGAAGGTCCGGATTTGTAGGCAGCGATTCAGTCTTCTGACACGCCGCGAGAAGGATGCAGTCTCCGTAGTTCTGCACGATGGCATTCGGATCCCGCTTTTTCGCCTCAATGTTTTCCTTCTCGTGTTTCTCGACGAATGTGTGAAAGTTGGAAACGACATTACCCGCGTGAGAAACATCAAAGACAAAGAGACTCGGACCCGCGAGCCATGATTGTAAGTCGTACAGTGAGACCGGGATGTACTGGGTATAGTTTTTGTTAAAAACCCAGATTTCGCCTGACTGAGTAGGAAGGGGAACACCGTGACCATTGTAGTGAAAGAGCACTCTCTCGTCTTTGGCATTACGACGTAACGAGATGCAAAACTTCTTGGTTTCATCGACGGAGGGGTCAAGATATTGCTTGTACCTAGTTCTTAAGCTCAGCGTCTCATACTGTTCTTGCAATTTCTTTCCGATCTGCTCCATGATTTTGTTCGAACCACCGGGGGATGTGGTGGAAGTTGGATCAACCCAACACTCTAGCTTTGCCGCAGGATTTGTCTTTACGACGTCCGGAGGGTCCACGCCAATGTTCAAGCATATCGCAAGCGCGGCGGAAACTGTTTTGAGACGATCTTTCATGCGCCAGTCCTGACTGGGCCAGCTTCCAACGGGGTCACGCGGGATCCCATTCGTCTCATGGCGCTTCTCCGTGAAATACATGTAGAAATTCTGGTAAAGTATCGACCTGTTAGAGGATAACCCGGTCCTTGGGTATGGCGCGACTGCTCACCGAATGCAGGACTTTCAAATACTCGCTCGAAGTATATTCTTCCTGCCAGCCGTGACGCATAGCAATATCTTCTTCATCGTCGCCATTGATAGCCTTGTCAAATCCCACCCGGGGCCCATAGTCACTCCTGGCTCTTTTCAAGGCGGCAGTCGGTCGCGCGGACTCGGGAGGCCGATCCAGGGTCAGCCGTGAGTTGACATCGAAGATAACCGAGTTTTCACCAGCAGAAGAACTCGTTGGTCTTTCCGGCGTGATTACAGGCGGCTGCTTGGCCTCGACGGTGGTAAATGATCGGTGATGTCCGGCAATGGGCGCAGGGGATAAGTCGCGAGGTGGGATATGAGTCTCAAGGTCGGGGCCGAAAGCAACACGAACAGACTTGTGGGGATGCTTTCGAGGTTCAGATTGGAGGCTCGAGGCCTGGCGGTGATCTGTACTATTCTGCTCCATTTCTAGTTCCAATGCTGTTGTTACGCGCAGATGATCATCATGTACAATCCAGTACGATGAAATGGACTGTCGCCTGAAGAAATGAAGAGAGTGGTTAGATGTGTAAAGTGAGAAGAGGTGGGTGAGTTGATGAGGATCTGAAATTGTGGGGAAGAGACGCAAGTGTATTCTCACCTTATCAACAATCATGTCACGGTGCATGCACTGGAAGCAGATCGAAGACGCCCAATGCGGGGAGTGAACAAGCGACTGGCAAAATCACCAGTCTGCTTAGGGAGATATTTGCCAGTTGGGGGACTAAAGTGAATCAGGTCAAAGCTCCCCAACTCCCCGTCCTGCTAGAATCGTCGGCACAACCTCTGTGAAGTGCACAGGTCCGGATGATGATGTCTTGCAGTAATTCGAGAGTAGCCCATGAGCTTTGGCTGGAATCCCGCCTGGCATCGAGTTGGCCCGGAAAATCGATATCGCGGGCGACCGCTAATCTGCAGACCGCCGCGGAGGGCGGCATTACATCAGAGTGGCAGTATTTGCTACAGAGTATACGGAGTAAGTACTTGAGTGAATAACCTACTCGATTCTTCAAATTCGATTAGTGCTCTGAATGAATGAAGGACTTTAGTACAGATGAGACGACAGAGCTTGACTAGAGGACTTAGTTTTAGTAATCATGTCCACAACTTGCGGGCTACCCTTGACCATGCTCATGCCAAGCTGCTGCAGAAGCTCGACGACCGAAGATCATAAATCTAACCGAAGGCATGGAAGAAGTTGTTGGCAATTAGGCGTTTTTCATGTCGTGCACTGATGCTAAAGAGAGCTTGATACTCCGTACTAGAATGATAGTATAATAAGGCGCCAGACTCGGTGGCCAGACAGCCAGCTTCCGATAGTACTTCCAAAGTTGTATGTAGTCGGTGGAATCGAAATTGGCAGGGCCCATCCCGCGCCCCATGCATGCGCGTGCCCTTGCCCAGACTCCTTTCTACGTACTAGACAATAATAGCAGCCCGCAATTTCCGCCTGGTCATCCATCCATCCAACCATTTATTCTTTCATTCACCTGCACCGTTGAAGATTGCCCGATCACGCACTCATGGCTAAATCGATCCGCATTGGGGGAACTTGAACCAGCGCTCCCCCCCTTTTCCCCTCTTCGCTTTCTCAATGTCTGCCCCAACCTTTCCACTTTCACTCCGCTGACCCCTGGATCCATCCGGTCCTGCTTCTGGGACGGTCCCGAACTTGGTGAAAGGTACTCCGTACCTCGCGACGGGCGGATCATAACCCGGAAGGTTGTCCCAGCACTAAAGAGTATACGAAGTCACGGCTACCGTTTCTCCCCAGCCAGTCATCATCGCTAGATAGGCACCGTCGATCAATCACCCTTCCACTCCAGCAATGGGTGGTCAAAATGAAGGAATGTGCTGCTGGGCAGCCCACATATGAGGTGCACCTGGAACCCTGATGACTGGAGAATCGTGAGAGGTACATTAATGAGGAACTATAAATGGGGCACCGGCTCAGAACCCATGTAGGTACTATGCCTGGTTCCTGCATGAACGGCCGGTGGTCGCTCGGCAAGGGGATGGGCCCAGCGACCAATCTGTGCTCGGAGTTCACCAGTGTATAATTAGGATAGTCCACCACTGCTATTGTCTCTCTGGTTCATGCTTTTGGGTGTGCAGTACTTATGCATTTGTTTACTCGTCTCATCAGGGTGATGTATCCTTGGCCTTTTTTAAGTTATCGTCAGTGTGGAATGCTGGAAGAGTAACATTTCGATGGTGGTTCCTGGAGATACCACCAGCCTCTCGCCGCGGTTCCTGCAGAGCGATTACCCACCAGCCGAACTTGAAACTGTGGTCCCTGACTCGCAATCAACTGACTTGCGTCCTGACAGTTGAGCTGGAAATTTAAACATGGCTTGATGCATTGCGCGCCCGCGCAACTGGCCAAGTGGGCCATCGACATGCCGGTAATTGTAGAGCACTTAAGGAATATCCCTGGCAGAGAAGAGATTGAGCTTAAGGACAAGATGATCATCACCAGAATATCCCAAGAGGTTGGTCAGTATTCACTATTGTGGAATGTATGGGACGAGATATGCAATCAATCTACTCCGTACTTCTGGGGATCAGTCAATTCCTCGTGGGAGCAAAGGTTTGTTTCCTGTTCTATCTTTCTCTCTCTCTCTCTCTCTCTCTCTGTGGTTCAAAAGCTTATTTATGTACGAGTCTCTGGAGTCATGTGTGCATGCAGAAATAGAAAGGGAAAAAAACAAAAATTCAGCAATGAAAGAGCGTATAGACAAGGTCATCACATATCCCGCAGTATTCGGTAGTCAGTAGTAGTAAATGAGGCGGTCTCGCACTGTCCCCCTCCCCTTCCCTCTCTCTCCCTCTCTCTCTCTCTCTCT